AGATACAAGGCTGGGCTAGATAAGAGAAGGAAAAATCGCGCGGGCGCATTGCCGCAGCCGCAAGCCTTGTACCTGCTCCAGCAGTGGTAACTTTAGTGCACTACTACGCTTCTCACGCGCTGAACGTCTTTCTGAAAATAACTGATTTAGTAGTTTTCAATAACGCTCAGCAAGTTTCTAATTGGAACCATACGTCTATTTTCACGAATTAAAAAGATAATTAACAAATTTTAATTAATTAGCCGACTTATTGCAAAGATTAGCCACCGACATAACGTATCCTGGGCGTATAACTCCCTCACACAAACCGCATAAGTGTAGCTTTCATGGCTTTCTTTAAACAGATCTGTAAGAATAAAAAAAAACACCCTCTATGCACCGGCAATTGGGGCGGTTTCTGTATATGTCCCATCAATACTATGTCCACCACTAAGCTGACAGTGCGATAGAAGCTACGTGCACGTTGAACAAGTCGCACGTCTATCTTTCGCCACGTGATCACGATCCCGGCCCTCCCCAGGCCCAGAGGCCGGCTTCGGGCAATGAAAAGGAGGCGGCTGTTGATTGGTCCGGAGGGCTCGTCACTGCCGCCGCACTGTCAGCTTAGGGATGAGCGGTTAATATGAAGACATATCCTGTAGCAGACACAAACCGGACAAGCTACCTCATTAGTCTAGACGACCGGGCCGCCGGGTCGACTCCTTTCCTCCAATAAGCACTTCCGACCGCGACAAAAACAATGTCGTTTCGCGCCCGTACCGTCTTCACTTTTCCTCGTAGCGTATTCTTAGTGGCCTTTTATTGGGCCTGGTTGTACCCGCGTAATATCGCTTTCGATGCAAGGAGATCATTAGGCAAGTTATTGTGTTACCATGAAATAAGCAGACGCAGCAGTCACGGTGAACTAACTCCTAAAGGAGTACTACAACGAAATTTCGGCGCTGCTTTTATGGTCTATATGTGTTCAAAGGAGCAGTATGACGTCGGACACACCAATATCTTGTTAAAAAAGACACAAAAAGAGATTTAAAACGAATTAAATGATTAGCAAAGAGCATCAGGTGGATCCCGCTAGCGCCTCGTTTGTAATGCCCGTCTATAGGTACCTTGAAAGGTAGGGACGGTTATTGTCTCGCCTCCGGCCACAACGAGGGAAGAGGGGAAGGATGAACTCCCCTCTTCCCGAGAATTCACTTTCTGCGTCCCAGACGTCGCTATAGACCCTTTTCGAAATTCAGTCTGGCCGCTTTGATCACTATGATCACCATCTGAAAGATGGCATATGTGCCATACCAATGGCGGCTTTCTGATGAAGGAACATGTTGAAGATACTCCTAGGCTGAGGATTCGAGGCCTATACATTCTAGACGTTAGCACGTTGCGAAACCGGAATCGAATGCAAGCGCTGCCCAAGTGTTCATTTCTCTAATTCGAGCCCAGTGAACCTGTTAGTTGCACAAAATCGACTTCGAAACCCCTTACCTTAAAGAACTTTATCAAGGCGTCTGTCTTGGTTGGCGCTTCGTTTTGACTGGTTGCATCGTTGTGGGAATCGACACTGGAAGAGATGATCCAGAAAAACCTGTATACCGAAAAGTTTATTCTCGTCTGCCGTTGACATGCAAAAGTGACGGTGCCCGATAAAATACTGCAGGCTACGGGTTCATTGCCGCCATTGGTATGGCAAAAGTTAAACTGCCATTTCATCCACCAGATGGCACTGAATTTTGGAAAGGGTCTATTGTTTCTCTACAAGATTATAGAAGATTAACCCGTCACTCAAAATTCTTACAAAAGCAGCCGCTTCGGTGGCTGGAACGACTAGGCCATCCTCTCGACGTCAGCCTCGCGGTAGCTTTGCTCGTCCTGAGACGACCTGCGTCATGATTGCGTCGGATGTCACGTGCTCTAAGCTGGGCCTTCTCCGAGCGCTTGCTAGAGTGGGCCGTTTATAACAAAAAATACGGCCACCAGGCTCAAAATACTAACTTGCGATTGTCATTTACGGATACTGTGTATCATATTCAACCTATTTTTGAACACGACGGATATATTTCAAATTTCGTTGAATTCCCCCTTTAAAGTATAGCCTTCGCGGACGGTAAGGTTATCCTATGAAAAATGTTGCTAGTCTGTACATAGAGCTGATGGAAAAATGGATGAATTGGGCTGAACCCTTCAATTGGGCGGTGGTTTGCACCGCCTAGCAAATCTCCGCCCCTTCCATAAATGCTGCGCCATCCAGCAGCATCGTTTGAAAACTACGCCTCGGTGCTGAGGCTGGCCCCCCTCGGCCGCCAGAAACAGTCGTAAATAGTACACCCCCGCGAAGTGTTTTTCCCAGAGTCTCACATCGATGCTTTACCGTGACATAAACCTTGTACAATATTTCAGCATAAAATTATCAGTTTTGTCGTTGTGCTACTTGTTGTATTGAATGTACCAATGCAACCTTTTTCTTCCCTTTGTTGAATGTGTTATGGATACTTTGCAGCAGCTGTGCATGGGTGCCGCCGAAACCGACCTTTAGCTTTTGTTTTATCTTATTTTGGTCACTTCGCTTCATAATTACAACATCAGCGCCGGTTACTTCATTTTAGATTTGTCTGTGTCATTCTCCCCAGCACTGGCCCTTGTGGGGGCTCGTCGAAGCCCGCTTTAGCGGCTTGGTCTCGGTGAGACCAGAGAAGGTCAGCGATGGTGGTGTATTCTGGCGCGTGTGCAAAGCGTTTATACCACCGTTGTGGCTCTTTTTATTAGAAACGCTCACCTCTGTTTGGGTCTCGAATGACCAACAGGATTGATAAGAAAATAAATATCTAGCGAGAACTTCAAGTGCTTGCGCCCCTGCAGCTGCCTACTCTGTTCGAAACATGCCTTTTTATTGCTTAGTATCATCCCACTCAGTACAAAGTCAGGGGTCAGTGATAATAACAAAAACAAGGTGAAACATTGTTTCCCGAATCTATCTGCACAGCATGATCCTAGCGCATTGAGAAACAAGAAAATGCCTACGTGTATCACATATACTCACAAAAATCAAAAATGCGTTATTTATAATTTAAAAAAAAAAAAATGTTAGTGGGAGTTTTTGTTTTGTTTTCTTTTACATAATTGAAAATTAGCTCTGTATACCGAAGCAGGCCTACAAGTACTGTCGCAACAGAGCCTCCAAAAACTGCTCTCGCGTACGCGTTTTTATTGACAGCATTCGGCGGGAGTTGATATCACGAGGGCATCTTGGTATTCTCTACCCAAGTACATTTCCGGTTCTATATTCATTTGTTCTTCAGCAACGCACAGCGACCGGGTAAGAAAATCTTTTTCCAAAGAAGTATTTCTAATAATTACATAAGAATCTGCACGCATTGTAGAAAGTATTAGAGGTAGCAAAATGTTGCAAAACAAAAGAAGAGGAAAACTGGAAGCGCGGAAGGGTCCGCCGATAGCAGGCGGTAGCGAGCTTGTTTGAAAACAAATATCGGGGCATACTTTTGTCGTGCTGCAACGACGATATTGCTAGACCGAGTATTTATCTCAACATAAAATCATCTTAGCACGAGCTCGATTCTGACGAACTTTGGTGCGTGGTATTCCCTTTCACTGTATCCTCATTTGCTTTCTGAGAGATACGGTTGTGAGCAAAAAAATCTGACTATCGCCGGAAAACGCGACGAGGGCAAGTTCGTTGGTTACGGAAGGCACATAATGGGGGGCACACCACACACAAGCTATGAAAACAATTAACGTGGAACGTGTAAGTGCCAGCAACTGCTAACGCAAAGTTGGAAATTCGCCCGCGAAAAAATATCGCCGTTTCCACCGATGACAGCTCTAGGTAGTTTTTGGTAACGGATTATAGCTAGGCTACCGTCTCCAGTCACTCGTCTTCAGAGCGGAAAACTACTCGTTAACATCGTTTATTATAAAGTCTTCTGTAATCGCAGCTAAACTCCAACTTGATAGGAGATCGTGTGCAGCGCCTTTACTCGCACTCCCTACGGCGACGGCCGATATGGTCATGGCGGCGCACTCCGTGAACAATGTTGCCTGTTCTAATCTCCAGCATAAAAAAACATGCGTCTCAGAGTTGCCAGCAGCAATTGCGGAAAGGGTCTATTGCGGTAGTGTGAATTTATCTGATGCCCACCTCGTTCTACTTCTATCCTTAACATTCGTCACTATATCTCGCCTGTTACGCTATTTTGTGTATTTTGCAAAGACTATACATGCGGTATATCGTATGAGGCATGTACAACAAAATATGGGAACACCGCATTAGCCTTACATAAATAAAGCATAATAACGGTGCTTGGTGCGAAACAAATATATACAGGATGTTTCATTACCGGCTTAGAATGACTTCTTAAAAGCAGCACTCGAAACAATGAAAGGGTAACTTGGGGATAATTTTATCGATCGCGCGTAAGGTAGGTTGCAAGTGTACCGCGAAATAAATAAAATAAATGAAATAAATTTCATTTATTTCATTTCATTTATTATGTTTCTCAGGGCTCGAAGGTATTACAGAGTGGAGTGTGGCACAGTAAATAAGACAAAGCAAATAACAATGAAAAGGCAAAAACTACACAAAATAACACGTACCTATAATCCACTAATGAACTTGCGAAATATTCACCTTGGAGCTTGTGAGAGATCTGATGTTCGTCGCCAAACTACGCCACAGCTGTTAGAATTCAGAGAAATATAAATAATATTCTCCGCGGCTATTCTTTGTTAACTTTAAGCCGTGATGGAACGAGAACGAGCGACGTGAGTCTCCGGAGCCGGCAAGCGTGGTGGGCAAGAACTGCAGCCTCGTCATCTATGCCGATATTCATGCAGATACATTATTTAATACACCATAGATAAGTTGAGCAATGGCCATGCTGGAATCTTGGCACTAGATGAAGTCGAGCGTTGTTTAGCGCAGTCTTAGTTTGTTCATACACACTCAACTACTTTTTAAAACTGAAATTCGCCTTATTTCTTTTCTGCAGTTCCGTCCCTGTTCTCCGTGTTCTTTAACCTCGTCAAGCCGCTGCTGAACGGCACCACGCTACAAAAGGTTTCCGTCTATGGCAAGGGTGAGTGCCTTTTTCGTTTTCTATGCTCTCGGAGAACCCCTTCAACGCTATAAATGGTCACGATAGTTAAAATTAACACCAAACTTATTTTAAGGTATTTACATTTGCTTGGAAGGAAGCGGTATGTGAGTTTTCATCTTGGTATAGGAAATACGGGAGTGCTCGTATCCTGTGCTCTAATCCGTGTCTCTTGTAAGTCAAATCGTTCGATGCATCACGAGCCAGCAGTCAAGGTGCCTTACGCCGCGTGGGAGGAGTTTGAACTAATGAAAACCAGCGTGAGAGATGTATGAAAGTGTAGCGTGCATTTTATGATTCATATGCCGGGACAACCATGCTGGTGCAAGTGCTCGGGCTCGCCGCGCTCGAGCTACGAGCACCGACTGCGAAACCACGGACGATTCTATAGACGATTGCAAGCTGGGCGACTGGCCGCCGCCATGTCTCTGCTCGAGCAGGCACGCCCGTGCGATTACGAGCTTGCCAAAGCTACGTTCACCCGCGCGTTGCACGCGCTTACACGTATGGCGCACCACTTGTGGCACCATGCTTGCAATTGTCTATAAATGCAGTTTTTATCGTACCAGTCGATCGGCCCATTCTTGTGTCTCTACAATTGGTGACCCGGACATGATACGCCGCTATGGCTGTCGAGAACACCGCTACCACAAATGTCGCCGCCGTCAAGTTTCGACTTCCGAAATTTTGGCCAGCGGACCCTCTGGTATGGTTCACGCAAGTAAAATCGCAGTTATCACCGCTCGGATCACCAGCTAACCTACGAAATTCCATCACGTCGTAGCGTCTCTTCCTCCCGAGGTGGCCATGGAAATTCGAGATTTAATCCTCTCGCTTCCAAACAATCAGCCTTTTGACAAGCTTCGCTAGGAACTGATCAAACAAACATCCGCATCGGAGAAAAGACGGCTCCAGCAACTAATAACATCCGAAGAGCTCGGGGACCGAACGCCCTCCTAGCTTCTTCGACGACTGCAGCAGTTCGTGGGTGATATATTGCCAACTTTTGATACCTCCCTGCTGCGAGAGGTTTTTCTTCAACGCCTACCATCGAAGATACGCGTGGTACTCGTTTCCACCCCAGTCATGAGCCTTGACGATCTGGCTCACCTGGCCGACAGAATCATCGAAGTCGAACTTCGATCGACAGGACGACCGGAGAAACGACTGCGATGACGAGACCACAACACGCAGTCAGCGACCACCTGGCATCTCATGTGGTTACGGAACTTCTCTAGCAGATATTCGAGCTTACAGCGCAAGTAGCAGCTCTCGTCTCCCAACCTCCTGCCTTCCACCGGAGCCGCTCAATTCCCCGGCTACGATACTCTTCGTCTCCTAGGCGACCACGCCAGAACAACGGAGGTTTGTGCTGGTATCACAAGACTTTCGGTGACGACGCTCGGCGATGTCACTAACCTTGCTCGGCGTCGGGAAACGAACTTGTCCACCACTAGAGGCATCTAGTGGTGGCAACCTACAACCCAGTCGCCTGTTTTTCATCGTCGATCGTAATACAGGATTACGTTTCCTTATCGACACAGGGGCTGAGGTGAGTGTTTTACCAGTGTCATTTGACCCCTCAAAACGTAGGAACAAAACTCCTTACATTTTACAAGCTGCTAATAAATCATCGATTGCGACTTACGGAGAACAATCCCTGGCGCTGGACATCGGCCTTCGAGGAACATTCCGTTGGATATTTCTAGTTGCAGACGTTTCGTACCCCATGTTAGGTGCAGATTTTCTTCGGCGTTTGAACCTGCTCGTGAATATGCACAGCAAACGGCTCCTGGATAATACCACCAATCTAGCCGTTAATGCAATCATATGCCAAAAACCGAATATCGAAGCTGCCATTCATTTCCTTCCACCGTCAAGGTATGAAACCCTTCTCAAAGACTACACGCAACTGACATCGCCTAACTTTGACACGCCGGGTCACCAATTGGACCGCCAGTGTATGTTCGTCCTAGATGCTTGCCTCCAGCATGGCTTAAGATTTTAAAAGACAAATTTGCGCATATGTTAGAAATAGCTCGGTATTATTCGGCCCTCTAACAGTCCATGGGCGTCTCCACTACACATGGTCCCCGAAAAAGAACCTGGGGGCTGGCGACCATGAAGAGATTACCAAGATCTTAATAATGCGACCGTCCCTGACAGGTACCCGCTGCCACGCACTGAGGATTGAACTGCATCACTGCAAGTGTCCAAGATTTTTTCAAAAGTGCACCTCGTGAAGGTGTACCATCAAGTTTCAGTGGCACCGCAAGATATTCCCAAAACAGCTATAGAAACCCCATTTGGTCTGTTCGAACATATTCGCATGCCATTTGGCTTGAGAAACGCTGCCCAAACATTCCAACGATTTATCGACACTGTGGTTCGCGGCCTCACATTTTTTCACACCTTGATGACATTCTGGTATTCAGCGCAAATGAACAACACGGGCAACATGTTCGCATCCTCTTCGATAGACTTGTCAACAACGGCATCGTATATTAATAAAGGCAAGTGTGCTTTCGGCGTCGGCAAGGTAGACTTCCTCGGGCATCACGTTAACAGTCAAGAAATTTCTCCCTTGCTTTCGAAGGTGGAAGCTATCGTCAATGTGTTTCCGCCGTCGAACATTCGCAAACTTTGGGAATTCCTCGGTCTAATTAATTTTTATTGACGATTTACTTCAAAATGTGCTCACACCCTTCATCCTTTAACTGACCTTCTGTAGGGCAAAACAAAGGACTCCACACCGTCGGTGTGGAAAGAACAAACTTCCCATGCATTCCAACAAATCAAGGAACACCTCACATCAACTACAATCCTGCTTCATCCCCATCACGACGCCCCAATTAACGTCATGGTTGACCGATAGAATGAAGCCACAGGAGCTGTGCTGCAGCAATATATGTCAAAAGCAAACGGCAACCCCTAGCATTTTTCTCAAAGAAGCTTACACCGCCCGAAACGAAGTACAGCACTTTTGGCCGAGAATTGCTGGCGGTCTACCTGGCCATAAAGCACTTTCGTCATTACATCGAAGGCCGAATTCCACGTACTCACAGATCACAAACCCCTTACATTTGCTTTGTCATCAACGGATGACAACCACTCCCCTCGCGAGATTCGTCATATGGCTTTCATATTCGAATTTACCACTGACATTCGTCACGTAAGCGGCGTAGACAACAATGTAGCAGACGCTCTCTCTCGCATCGTCATGGCTTCAATTTTGCTACCACTATCTGTTGATTACCAAGCCTTGGCACAACAGGCAGATGATCAAGAGCTCAGCAAACTTCGCACTACACCTCCTCATCTTATTTTCGAGCAAATTCATTCAGAAACGCACGGCGAGACAGTTGTTTGTGCGATGGTCGACAGGCACTCCCCGCCCTTTCGTTCCATCTAGTTTCCAGAAACAAGTTTTTGGTTCCTTCCACTGCTTGTCACATCCTGGAATACGCGCCGCACGACGACTTTTATCTTCTCGATTTATCTGGCCTAGCTGAACCGCGACGTCATGGCGTGGACCCGAGCATGCCTCCAGTGCCAACGCTCAAGGATAAGTCGACACACAGTTTCGCCTTTCTCTTCTTTTAACCCTCCCGACCTTCGACTTGACCAGATCCCTATAGGTTTAGTTCGAACGCTGCCACCATCTAATTGTTATATTTACTTGCTCACCTGCATTGACCGCTTTACACGTTGGGCCGAAGCCATCCCAATCCAGGACATCCGTGCAGAAACGGTCACCGAAGCTTTCATCAACGGCTGGGTGTCCAGATTCGGCGTGCCTTCATACCTTAGAACAGACCGCGGTCGCCAGTTCGAGTCTGCTTTTTTCCGCGAACTCATGACCATCTTAGGAACTTCGCGCATTCGTACAGCAGCATATCATCCAGTATCCAATGGACTGGTAGAACGGTTTTACCGCTCACTCAAAACCGCACTTCGGGCCCAAGATACAGGACCGAACTGGGATTCCGCACTCCCTATTGTTCCTCTAGTGCTCCGCACAGCCTTAAAGACTGACATCGATTGCAGCCCTGCGAAAATGCTCTACGGCACGATCTTACGACTTCCAGGAGAATTTTTTTCAAACAGACCAGAAGATCCAGCACCGGATCCTACGAGCTACGCGTTGAAGCGGATAATGCGCACCGTCCGACCTACCCCTGCCCACCCCCAACAACAGTCAGCCGTCTATGTTTCAACGGATCTACATTCATGCACACACGTTTTTCTTCGTCGCGATGCTGTGCGAAGGCCACTTCAGCACCCTTGCGATGGCCCATATCGAGTCATAACTCGTGGCGATAAACTTTTAACGATTGATATTAATGGCCGACAAGAAACTGTATCCATTGACCACTTGAAACCAGCCTACCAAGAATCGTCACAAGAAGCACATACGTAATCTTTTGACAACACTGCTATTTTCGCACACTCACATGACTTTGCTTCTTCACGCGGCGCCTCGACACAGCCACGAAGCTCCCGCGTACGTTTTCTGCTACCAAATGCCCAGACCTCATGAACATTCCCTGAATATGCTCCCATCTGTATTTTTTAATGTTTTTAAGGGGGGGGGGGGGGGGATATTGCAGCGTGCATTTTATGAATCATATGCCGGGACAACCACGCCGGCGCAAGAGCTCGGGCTTGCCGCGCTCGAGCTACAAGCACCGACCGCGAGACCACGGGTGATTCTATAAATTCAGTTTTTATCGTACGAGGCGGTTGGCCAATTCTTGTGTCCCTACAATAGTAACCAGTCGGATTAACAACATGGGTCTTCCTTTAATTGACTGTACCGGATTTTAACTGAAGGCTCTGCCATTCTGCTTGTCATTCTGCCCCCGAGGGATTCGAAGCAGCGGTATGAAATATTGCCAGCGACCTTTGTCCGCTAAGTCCCATCATGCATGGAAGGCCCATGTTGTTAATCCGACTGGTTTCAGGAGCGATTGTTTAAATTTGTTTGGATAACCTCACACGGCCTTCTAGGGAAGCGAGGTTTCCTTAGGCAGGTTCCAAGGGCATGGGCTTTATTGCTCGCATTGCATTTTCTTTTTCTGAACCAAGGATGTTTCTTCTACCTTTTACTGTAGTGAGATGACCGCTTTAGTTTCTACCTTATACATCTGCTGTCGAAGTTCGTGCGTCCCTTTCGACCCTACAAATTAAAGAAAACATTTTAACCAAGTCCCTTTGGGTCAGGCATTATGACAAAACAAAAACTAATAACTAACTTTGTGCATTGCAAGAAGACCTTGGATATCAGAAAATAAAGCGCATGGAAATAGATATCAGGTTATGAAAATAAGGCTACTCTAACTTGCAATGGTCCACGTTTTCTCCAAATCTGTCCTGTCGTTTTTGGGTGTTCATTGTCCTCGTTTTGTTCACGCTTTTTAACCTTTTAATCAGTGTGGACATTATAGTCTAAACCCAAGTTTTACTTCTCCGAAGTATTCCTTAATTAAACTGATACATCAGATGTTGTCCCTATATGCCGCGCATGTTAAACAGGGCGTTCGTAAATTTCGCATTAATGAAAATACTTTGCATCCTACGGTGCACCTAAGTCAATACGATTTTCGGCGACTTAAAAATTTCATGTTGTTTGACATAAGGCCGTTATTTTCTGAAAACTAACGGCAAAATGTACCTAATCTTCTTTTCGCCCAAGGATCATATTTTGAAATGAAGACCGTGTACGGAGATAAACAAAAGCAAACTGGTGGGCTATTGTTTTTGCTTGTTTATGAGGACCCGCAATGAGTAGCGCGTACTTTATAAGTCTCACCGCCGACGACTATCTGCGGTATCTCCTGAAATTTCCGTATACGGGATCGGCATGCCTTCCTGATCCCTTGGGTGAAAAGAAAGAGCACTTGTTCCAAAAAGAAATGACAAAGCTGCCGAAGGTATCATGGACCTATCTTCACGATTGCCTATTCGAGCCGCCTGGTTCATATACCTGTGAATGACTTAAAACTTGCAAGTTCTTAAACGTGCTGAATTACTTCGTGAGCGGCAAGGCATCTGCGATTGGCACCTACCTCCTCCAGGCGCCGGAGGGACGCGACGAGCTTCCCCGCAGGGGCTGCCGATCCGGGTCATGGTTTTTGCAATCCATTGCAAAGCGTAATAAAAACGTTCTCCGAACATTTTTATTACGCTTTCTTCGGCACAAAGCGAATCTCTGTCATGACCAATTTTCTAATGTTTTGACTCGCTCGCCTTGGTATTCAGGGTTTCTTTCCCAGACAACCGTGTTACCTTGCATTTATGCGTGCCGTAATGACCCGGTTGGCGTTGTACGGGGATGGTCGGTCGAAGCGCCGTTGGTGTCGCATCCTCGCGCTTGTCGCGTTGCGCCATCCGTCGGCAGCACATCGAAATAGGCTCGCCATCTCCTAATGCCTTCGCCCTGCGATTGCCCAGGCTCGACGGTGTTGGTGGCGTCCCTCATCTCGGGATAATTAAAAAAAAAAAAATCTTTACTTGTGACAATTTGTTCGTGCTGGTGCGCATCGGCAACGCAAAAGCACGACACTGGGGCATTTCTAGAGCGTAGCTCTTGAGCAATAAAGCCTTTTTTAAAAGCCCGCGCCATCTCCTGTCTGTCATTGCTAGATCAGGTACTCTGAGCATGTCTTGAACATGCGGGTTGCGTCAGCATTGGGCCTGAAGCCGGAAAAAATCACCTGCTTTCTGCTCTTGCAACGGCAACCGCCTTTGTCGCTCAATGGACTTTTGAAAAGGCTCTTTTGTTTGCTAGTGAACCAAGACTTGTCGCACACCCACCCAAGCACAAGGTACAGGTCCCCTCAAAGTAAAACGGTGCGCCGGAGCGGCGACCGAACTGCATTGCCGCGCTAACTAGCAGCGCCGGCTGCAACTGATAGGCTACTTCTGCACATACGAACATGCCTTCCGAAGAGGCCTCCGTTTTTTTCTTCCAACCCACACGTTATCGGTGGTTCGACTTGTGTAACGCTCTTCCTAAAATCGCCGCCTGATAGCAACAGGGGCGGTGCTCATCGGCAACACTGGCCGTTTCCCACTTTCCCTCGACGTTATCTCCCCGTGCGAACACCTAGCGGTGTTTATCGGAACAGCGTTTGGAACCTCAAGACGCTGATAATGCGAGGATCAAACAAGAAAGACGGAGGACACCGTGGAAGGCACGCGCGCATGCGCAGACGGCACCTATCAGTTGCAGCCGGCGCTGCTAGATAGCGCGGCGATGCAGTTCGGTCGCCGTTCCAGCGCTTCGTCTTACTTTGAGGGGACCTGTACGTGTAGAAGAGCCGGAAGTATCCCTTCTCCCCTGTCATAGTGGCCGAAAGCGGCGTGAACGCCCTGTATAGGGTGCAGTGTTACTAGAACAACTAAGTTGGGAAACTTCGAAGGAGCCTGCTTTGAAAAAGTGGCTTCTATCGGTACTCGACAAACGAACCAACGTTACTAAAACACACGGTTGGGTAACTCGCCCTTGAACCTGGGCCGCTGGCGTCCACCAAGACCGAGCTAAATACGATAACAGCGCCAGCATTTAGCGACGAGTTGAAACATGAAAGTTGCTTTATATGGCTACTGCAACATGGCCTTGCGAGATGGCGCCACCGGCCCTACCGTGACTCGACGGAACCAGTGAGTGCAGCCGTGCACTTCACAGAGTGGCCGCTGCGGGAGAAATGGCAGCGTTGCGATCGCAATTAGCTCGGTACTGGGATAAGGCTCTATGGCAGTTTCCCAACTGAGTGATTCAAGTAACGCTGACCGAACTAATGGCGATGGCAACGCTGCCATTTCTCCCGCAGCGGCCACTCCGGGAACTGCGTGTCTGCAGGTACCGGTTCAGGTCAAGTCGCGCAAGGGCCGGTGGCGACATCTCGCCTTGCCGTTTCGCAGTAGCAATATAAATTAATGATCATGTCTTGACTAAAAGGTGGCGCTGTTATCGTATTTAGCTTGGTCTCGGTGGACGCGAGCTGCCCGGGTTTCAAGGGTGTGTTTCCCGACAGAGTGTTTTAGTAACGTTGGTAGGGTGTTAGTAATGCCGAAGCGGGCTCTAAGATAGACCAGAAGAATTGGCACGGGGAAGTAAAAATCTGAAATAGTGGATCTTAAAGGTGTATATCACCTTATAAAGTTTCGAGGCAAAACTCTCCTAAAAGAAAGGAGACCAACACCCTTGACATGGCCAAGGGCAAACTCAGAGCGGGACGGCCGAGTTAACCGAGATCAGTGCTTCTGGCGCCATTTCCCGTAGGCTCCTTGAGCAGACGACGTCATCGTCGTCTTCCGATCGAGTGCGTCGTCTGCTCACGGCGTCTATCGGGAGATGGCGCCACAACCACAACCCGCGGTTCACTTATGCGTCCGTGTCACAGTCCGCCCAAATCAAAAAGTGTTTTCCTTAAAGTTCAGGCTTGTGTTAGTAGGTATGTCATATTTCAGAATTAAAACTGCGCAAATAACGAGAGACCAGATGACAAGACACACACAACGCTGCGCCTGTGTCTTTCTTCATCTGGTCCCTCGTCCTTTGCTCTGTTTTATTTCTCAAAGGTGGTGTTTTTCTCAAGAAGAGAGCAAGGGCACTGAAATTTTACAAGCTTAAATCCATCACTAAAATACACCTTTGATGATTAATTAAAAGTGAAGCGTGCAGGCGCCAATTTTTCCAGCCAATTACAAGGCGAACGAAGGGATTTTATACATTTTGTATATCACTTGCAACATCAAGTTGTGACATTGCCTAAATCTGTGTTTTACCATGTGTCCCGGTGGAGTCGTATCGTTTCTAAGCAAGAACTCGAGGTTTCAGGTTTCGCACGGTGATGAGGGCTGTGCATTTAACATCGTACGCTTCTAGCCTACCTGCATTCGTTCTTTTGAACATTTCACAGAGTGTACAACTTATGTCACTTTACAAATTTTCCGCGTGTGGTCTGCAGACCAGTGGAAGGAAGCCCTCCTCAAGCAGATCGATCCAGACCAGCTACCCAAGCACTGGGGTGGAAACTGCGTGGACGAAAAGACTGGCGATCCTCGCTGCAATTCACACGTCAGTAAAAACACTGTTTCTTCAAGTCGGAAGCACGCTGAAGTTCTCTTAATGAAGACTAAACCGATCTCACCAAGCGTTCGGCGCATGCGTGACGTCGCCGTAACTTTAGTTTGCAAGAGGCAGGTGGTAGCGGCGGCAGTGCACGAGACGGTTCGTGCCGTCGCCTCTCCTTAAGCGGGTTCACATGCAGCGATTTTGGCCCTAAAGCGGCGCTATTTCTGCCGTCGCGGCGCTCGTGCCGCTCAACCGCTGGTGCTGGCCAGAGCGCCGCGACAGTAGGAATCGCGCCGCTTTAGGGCCAAAACCGCTGCATGTGAACCAGGCTTTAGAGCGTAGAGCCACAGCGAAGTCTTCGCACGTGCGTAAGGGCTAAAGTTCACTCGATGCGTTGCAGCAGCGGTGGCGTAGCCAAACTGGCTGGCGTAGGCTGGCGAGATCGGTCTATCGCACTCTTACCAAAGCAAACTCAGATTTCGCGAGCGTCAATGACGAGCCGTGGAAAGCTATTCTTTTTTCTCACCTTAGCACGGACGAACTGCGAAGGCTGTGCAAGCGCGAGCGGCTAGCTTCGACTGCCTTGACTGGAGCGCTCGCTGCACGAGCGCTCGTGCAGCCGCCGAGGCTTCATTCAGAGCAATTAGCTCGGGCTTTTGGCATGCGCGGCTAACAATAGTCCATGCTAAGGTGAGACGAAGTATAGTGGAAAACTATGAACGTTGGCCGAGTTGTCAAGTTGCCGTACTCGTTTGCCGGCAAACCAACTGCGCGTGTCCGCGCGCGTCGCGTGTTGACGGAACGCTATGAGCCAGCCCATACTATACTCTCTATGCCCTTAAGGCCTCTTCACACATGCAGCGGAGTGTTACAAGCGTAGCGCTGAGGGGAGCGTTCCCCAGCTTTGTATCGCACCGTCAAAACTGTTGCTCATGGCAGACGATAAGTAGCCGACGACAGGTGAATAACGCTACATCAGCGCTTCGCTGCATGTGAGAACCGGCCTTTAATGAGACGGCAGCCAAAGCTAGACGCGCGAGCTTTCCCGCGCTCCTGGCTTTGAGATGTGCATTTCCTGTGCCGAACAACGCTTCAAGGCCGCGTGTCATCGAGCTGTCATGCTTGTGTCATTGGCTGCAGTCTTAGGTTAAGGGTGTCCTTGGCCGTGTTCCAAAATTTACTCGATCTTACTCTAGGGTGAGGGTCTTGTACCCTTGGCGTTCTGAAACCTACCCGCGTTCAGCGTTTTTCAATCTGTGCTCTCACGTGATACGATCCGCCGGAGTAACTCGGATCCATTTGGGTAAGATTTGGAACACAGCCCTTCTCTTTAGGGTGACGCCGCTCTTTGTAGTACTCGATGCCGATAGCACACGCTTTCGAGAAAAATAGGAACACCTGACAACACAACGCCATGGTAGCACTGTCAGTGACAGCAAATCGTGCCGATAGATGCGCACTCACGCGCTCCGGAACAAAAAACAAAACAAAAAACAAAAGCGTTCGAAACGTAATTGTCACATGTCATCCCACTTAGCAAAGCACACATAAAGGCACCCTAGCTGACACGACGCGTCATCGCCGTAACCTGCGTATTCTGAAAGCCCCTGAATAAAATCCACACTTACCAAGTACCGCCAACCATTGTTGTGGAAGCTCGGAAGACACGCGACACGAGCGGGTGCTTCGCCGCCATTCGCTTCCAAGGGCCGCTCATTTCAGTGCTTCGCCGCCATTTGCTTTCAATGGCCGCTCGGGACGCGGACATCTTGCACTGGCGCATTCGACGCTACTTGCAAGACAAGCGCTAACACATCGAGAGGCTTTACGTATTCTTGATGTCGTCGTCGCCAGAAACAAAAGTAGATAAAGACCGACAAGGCGACGTTTGTGCGCCAGCTCGGATACACACCTGTCCGCGCCACAGGCATTGTGAGCAGTGCGCATGCAGAGCGGGGCTATCGACATTACAGGCGCGATAAGTCAGATTACTTTCGGTTGGAAGCACTGCACAAGGACGACATCTCTCATTCCGTCACGCACATTACAAATTTATAATAATTTCACATCACGGCTGAAATACAGGGAGGTCTATCGTCATTCTCCATCACAGCGTGTCCCCAAATTTCAAAATTGAATACGTCAAGCAATATATTCGAGTTAATTACTTAACTAATTAACTGCTTTCGCCTCTTCACTCAGATGATCCAAAACGTAGCCCTACGGCTTAAAAACATCCTAAAGGAAGTTTACTTTTTTTAGGTCGTGTTCCTCTCTGAAAAGCACCCTGTATGTTTTTTTTTAATTTATTTAATGGAAATCGTTTTTATTGGCGCCGGAGAAAAGAGGGAGGGGGGAGGACTTAAACCAAGGGTTCCGGCTACTTACACTATTACGGTCATATAGAGGCGGAGTAGTTCCAATTATGATCGATCGTTTTGGATACACTGCTACCAAAGACCAATCGAATACACCTTTTCTTTTTTTAACAAGTTGATTCCGAACATTCAGAAGCTCTAGCGAGTGAATAGAAGAGTTGCAGAAGAGGGTTTGCATACCTTCGGATCAGAATTTAGTCCGTCAATCTCTTGCGGAGGTCGCCATGCTGAAATGTTCCAAAACGACTTGTTTTTCCGCCATCTTTGTAGCGCTTTGACACACCAAAGACAGCGTTTCTGTTATGAACTGAACTTTATTTGCACCGGCTAGAGAGGGTGTACATGAAGCTCCGAAACTGCGGAATCATGAGCGCGAAACTTCAAAGAGTGAGGTCAGATATTAAAAGCTCCCTTCGATTTACCCACGCCTCCTGCACCGGCGCAGGAAAGTGTAGGGCGGTGTACTTCCGGTCGTATCTCCATCCATACACCGGAAGTACACGGTCCTACACTTTTCTGCGCAGGTGCTGGAGGTGCAGATAAATTGAACGAAGCAGCTGAAACGAAAGGGTTTCCACGTAGCTGCGGGTGGGGATGAAGGAGCAAGCAATATCTTTCAGCTGACGCATAAAGCCTTGTTAACAAATTTGCGTCCGCATGTGCTCGGGTGATTCGCGTTTCCTTGAAACTCGTACTGGCACCTGACGCCATCTATAGGCTAGCCCTGGAACCCTTCCCAATGAATGGATATATTTTTCATAAATGTTTTCTTTACGCATCATTCTATCATGGCGTACTCGAAATAAATCTGACAATTTCGTAAGCGATAATATCTCATAAACAGTGCGTGGATTTGTTCTTCCCAATACTACGAAATCTCTCGTCTATATTCCGTCTCACTACAACTGTGCAGTACAGCCAAAGCTACTGGGGACAGAGTGTATCCCGAACTATTCAAGAGGAGGGAAAGGAGGAGCAGGATAGAAAGGCTGGGAATCCCAGCCCCTTTCTCCTGATCCTCCTTTCTCTCCCCTTGAAGAGGTTTGGACACGCTCGCTTCCCTGTGGCTTTGGCTGTACTGCACGGTTTTAGTGAAACGGCGGACGCGTTTCACGGCTACCCAAAAGATGGCGCCAGTGTGTCAAGCGGTCATTACAGAGCCCTGACGTAAGAGAGTGATCAACTGAAATCGTGGACACCGTTTGCAAATTTAATGGTAGGCAAATCTTGGGCAACTTATTCCCAAGTACGCAGGCGTTGCGTCGTCGCGTGACGAGAAGGAAAAAAGGGGGGGAGAGGTGGAGAGGTTTGCACATGATCAGCGCTATTGTCACCCCCTCGCAGCTCGCATTGGAAACGTTGCCCATGCAACACGGGATTTCACCCCGATCGTCCAGTTGGAAACGTTCCGACATCTAGCACGCTGTAGGGATTACAAGAGAATGCAGCCCACCCGAGCACGCTCAAACGTAAATGTGTGTACCCACCTTTAACGTTATTTTAATCCCTAAAGATCGGAGAGAAATATGCCTAAATCCGCGAGATTCGGACAATCATTTCAACCCCGTCGCGTATATATGTTTCGTAGTCCGGCACTGAAGCCACCGGTACTGATTACTTATCTCGTTCTGCAAGCTAACTTGTACGGGCTTGTGTCACTAGCCTGGACATACGAAAAGGTAGAACTTTGATATACATAGAAAGGCTACGAAGCTCATAATCCACGCTCGTAGATATCGTTTTATTCTCACGTGTTTCATCGACGGGGAGAAAAACTGCGTAGAAAAATAGGGCCGTGAGATCGCATATCAGGACGACCCGGAAAGCATGCGACACTATTAGCACTGCTACACAGATTACGCGTTGGTCCTTCTATTCGTTTTAAGCTTCAAAGCATTAGGTCGATAGGTCATCGCACTCTGAAGAAACTTAGTTTCACTCTTGGCTATCGCTCTTCTGGTAAGCTTATCAAACGTTATGCATACGTAATGGAGTGCTGTACGTTTGGCGCAGATAATGCGCCGTTTTTAATATGAAAATTACGTATTATATCAATACATACACTCTAAAAAGAAAGGGTATATTGTTACACCTCTTTTCACATATACGACACCCCAAAGCTTCAGGTGGACGTACAGCGCACGGACGTTGAACCGACACTACCAAATTTCACGAGCGGCTTGAAAGCCGAATTGTACAACTTACTCAATTAACTAACGTAACTGGGGCTGACTGCAAAAAAAAAGTTATCGGTTTTTTTTTTCGCTCTATGGTAAAGCCTCAGTGTTTTTTGTTTTGTTTTTTCCTGTAGACTTTGATACGTACTTTAGCTGTTGGGTATGCTATATCGCACCGTCATCAAACCTCTCGCCAAAGTTGGGGAAGTCAGTTCAATTTCAGTGCGCTGTAAGTCGAACTGAAGTTTTGCGGTGTGGTATATGTGACAAGGAGTGTAAGAATATACTTTTTTTTTTTTTTAAGTGTAACATGTATAGTCACCTTCTTTCCATTTTTTGTTCCCCACAAAATGACAAAACGAAACATAAAAGTAAGGGAAGGATGGGCACTTCTTTCAGACACGCTTGTGACAACCCTTGCCCTAGCTCGGCCGCCAGCAAAATTTCATGGAATTACTTTTTCTTGCTACTTAGAAACCTCAAAATGAGAAAGAGAGAGAGAGGGAAAGAGAGAGTGCACTGCAATATCGGCCTAACGCGCAGAAAACTGATATTCTGTTTGTTGCGAGACGAAAAAATAATGGTATTGCAAAGCAACGTTAAATAACATAAAATTGTACGTCAATACTATATTGTGCGCGTTCGTGCAAAACACGCGGAACAGTTTGTCAACGTCTTAGGTAGATAAACGTGAACGAAAAATAAAAATAACCACGCTCATTGTGCTAGTATATTTCTTCGGTATATCGGTCGTGGTTACAATGGAACGCCCCTAATATTCATCGAAAATTAAGCGGCGCAACTTTTACCCCGAATTACTATTTTTCTCTTCCTTTAAAAATTGAGTGAAGCTTGTAAAGCCCTATAAGTTAACATTTTTTTAAAGTGGTTTTTATAAGCAGGGTTCTGTGTTTTAGCGACTCAAATTTTTAAAAATTTTCGGGTGCTTTTTCCGAGCTTATTTATCCCGAATACGTTTGGTGCTTTTTTTTTTTTTTCGTATTCATATTTGGTGTTGGACAAAAATAGACATTAATTGTGGCTTATTTTTAACACAAAGAAAGACACAGCCGTGGTATTTCCCAGCCTTCTGAAAGCATGTCCGTGGCCTGAATGCTTGGAAAACGTCGAAATTAGAGAATGAAACCAGACAAGTCATGTGGTTCCCGAAGAATAAAAGAAAGCTGCTGCCTCGCGAACAGTTTACTGTAAGCTGTGTTTTGAGTCAAGGTAGAAAAAAAAAATGCAGTAGATAATGGTTTTTTTTTTCTTTGAAGATTTGTTGGGGTTCTCTTAGTCAAGAACAGCTTTACTTCTGGCTATATATATATTTTTTTTTATTTTGATTAAACTGGCTCAGGAGTTACTTTTCGGTGTTTATCGGTGCATACCGAAAAATCCGAACCCTGCTCATAAAGTGGGACTTCAGTTTGACCCCATGCGGTTTTTCCACTTCGTGTTGCTTAGTCTACATAATGAATATATTCGTTGTCTCGCGTATCATGTTGTAAACTTGGCAGCTTGATTCCGCACACCGAACTATGGGAGGCACAGTGCAACGAGACTTGTGTCACAGAAGCATTTATAAACTCGTATATACTGACAAAACATATTCTGCTGAGTCAGCCCAAACCACAGAGATCTAACAGTTGGTTCGATAATGTTATAAATGAATCTTGTGATGCTAAGGAATTTTTAAGCTCTAAATCTCAAGTTACCAAGCTTACTTAGCATATGGCATGCTAGAGAACATGTCTTCCTAGTGAGGTAGTCGTGAATCAATGCTTTTTCACTATGACTTGAAGTAATTCGATGCATTTTTTGTCTGGGCGAAGGCAGCCGTTGATTTCAAGAGTTATATGTTCTGGTAAACTTTAGTATGGCATTCTTATTTTAAGTACAGAAGCTTAGCGTACAAGCCCCTTTAACCAAATGAACGTATGGTACTTGCTTTGGCTTAGCATCATTTTGTCTGCATGGAAGTATGCGTGCTATTGTCGTAAATTCCCTCTGTTCTGCATTGACATAGGACGTCAAGCTCAAGAGGAAACTTATCTGTACAGGAATAATCGCTGCTATATATAGAGCTCATGCACATAATCAGGAAGCGTCCACAAGCGTCGGCCGCCAGCGCCATTAACCATGATTTGCCACAACAAACCATGCAGGCACTCGACTTCGATGATGTCCGTTGTTTCACTTTTACACAACACGTATTCTTGCAGTTTCTCGAAAATCGCCGAGTCCTTGTTCAACAATGGCGGCCACCAATACCCTGAGTCGGTTACAGTTTTACTGATCTTGCAGCAAGAGCAGTCTCAGTATCGCTGCTGCACAAAGTACAATTATGATTTGTGCAGCAGAACGTCTGCGTCCATCTTTCCTCCCTTCTCAGCCGATGTGCACAAAGCGTGCACAAGTGCAGCTTTATATGTTGAATTCGAGTAAAGAGCGACGACCATTACTATTGAATACGCAATGATTGCAAAGCCGCTAGTTATTTCTACTGTCTTGCATATCTACGCTTAAACCGTTTTTTATTGCTAGCATCTTTATAGTTTCCGAAAAGATGAAAGAGTGAATATTAAAATTAAATTGATCTAGGACCGAAGTTTTCTGCGCTTATGCGTAGACCTAGTTTCTAAGGTATCTGCTAAATCTTGGTCCTCCTGGCAGCTTGTGCAGCTGACATTCTCCTGACCTATACTTCTATACATTTTGTTGTTTGAAATAATTAGTGCATAGCTCAGTCAGGCACTCCCGCCCACATAGCTGCGGTGCCTATCAAAGCAAGAAGCTTTCGCACTCTACCACGGCGAAACGTTTGTTCATGCTGCACCGTAATGCTTGAAAGCGCCCCGCGCTCTTCCTGATAATCACGTGAGAAATGAGACTGATGCCGTCAGGGGTCACTGTTGGCTTAAGGAATGCAGGGTGGGGTGAATTCTGGACATCTTGGCAGTAAAAAAACTGCCAAAGAAAGAACCCCAAGAATAAATCCCAAAGTTGATAATAGAATGAGCCAGGCCCTACGTTTCCCATGCTGTTAGTCGCTGTTTCGCTCGGCGTGTGCCGCTATTCGAGGAAAACGTGTAATACTCCACTCGCTCGAAAAGGCTTCGAAGTTCGTAGAGTCGAGCCAAGCGCGGCTCTCAGTACGTGCGAAGCTAAGATGGATATTGAAGCAGGCCCTATTGTCGGGGTTTATGATTTCACAACGTATAATAAAATGAGTAACTCTCGCCGAGTAAAAACACACGCTTGCCACCAATACTGCTGAATGACCTCATTCGCAAGCCCTCCTTGAACGCATGAAATAGCCATTTACTTCTGGACACTATAGTTCTTATACCACGGCCAAATTTGCTGGTGGTACCAAATTTGCTGGTGGTCACCCACCACCCTCTCTCTCAACCACCCGGACGCCCCCGTCGAGCTTCAGGAGGCGAAGTCGAGCCAGTAAACGTCTTTGTTGAAAGTCGAAAGCCTGTCTTGTCTGTTTGTCTTTAATGTCCCTCTTTCCTTATCGTAAATTAATAACCAACACGCTCAACCATCTACACCAAAAGCAATTCACCTCCCTCCGTGTCATCCCGATTTACGCGAAATCAGCGAGAGAACAACATACAAGGGACGTTGCTGTCTCATTGCATTCGATGGCTCATTGTTTGCACCAGAGACATGGTCATGATGCTGCGGGACGAGCAATATATGCAGATCTACAAGTGGCCGAAGCGGTCGCACATTGTAGAACAGTTCACGGGTGTAAGGCGCGTATATATTTTCGACTCCCGGCATGCTGTTTCCGATTCTTTGACCCAATATAGAACTACATGCAAGTGGCAAACGAGTCCACATTTCCACGTGTGGGCACTGCGCGTGCGCAGGAAATCGCGTCAAGTGATACGTTTGGGCGTGGGTAGGCAGCAGCACCACCGCAGCTGCGTGGTGTCAGAGCCGCCTGTTGGTCTATAGTCTGCCATATACGTGTGCTAATTCAACCCACAAGGCTCCAACACACACCGCCGAATACAATTCTCGTTGAATGTTATCTGCATCAGCGTTCAGTCCTCTCAAACGTCACTCGAATTATGGTCGGAGGCTGCTATGGAGGCACGAAACATGTCCGTCTAAGCGCTAAAAATAGAAGCGAAAAAAGCCTCTCAAGAGCGTACAGAGGCGTAATAAGTCCAAAGTTGAAAGCATTGCGGGCAATTCCCAGTAGCCACCTGGGAATACCGTCCACCATAAAATAGCAGCGACGGATATAGTGTTAGCCAAATGGAGAAGTTTTTATGTCTCTCTCTCCGACAATATCTTCTTCTCTTTCTTTTGTCGCTTTTGGTGAGCGACACTCCACTTCTCTGTACAACTTTCAGCTTCCAGCAGCTGTCTCAGGCTGCCGAGACGTGCCTTCACCCCCTTCCCCGAGGCGCGACGAGGTGTTGATATGGACCGCCTTTGGACGCCAAGTGTTGGTGTCGCCTGTTTATGCGCCCAGAAAGTGAGGGAGATAAGGAGAGGACAGCGAGCGGGGGCGTCAGAGAGACCAGCTCTGGTTCGAAGGATTAGTGGGTGCACCTCAAGCTAGCAGCCTTTGTCTCCAGTGCACTCATCGGACGCCTTAGAACGCGGAACACAGGCGTCTGGGCGTGTGGCTCTCGCATTCGACGAGTGCAGTGAAGACACGTCGACCCGTTGATCGTTCGAATCAGAGTTCGGCGTTCTGATGTCTCCGCGCGCACTCCTCCCCTTCCTCACTTTATCGGCGCATATATTCCTCTTGCGCCAAACATTGAATAGTCGGCGCATACGTATGAGCGGCTAAACTTATACATTTTAGTGCTGATAACGTACGGCCTCATGCCCTCTCGTCCCAAATACCCCCCACACCTTCGCTCGCACGCGAGCGAGCGCACATTCACACGCTCGTCTTTGTTTTCAACGCTCATCTCTTCTTGGCACAGATCACTGTGTGGACGCCGATTCGGGAAGACGAGTACGTCCGCCGCAATAGCCTGAACGGCGCCGACTCGGTCAACGGTGCCGACTCGGTGCAGAGCACCACTGTGTCCGTGGAACGTCGCAGCTGCCTCGAGGTCCCCGTGACCGTGGACCAGGGGGGCTCTCGGCTGTGCTGGCAGTTCGAGACCGAGGACCACGACATCGGCTTCAGCGTGACCGCCAGGGCCTCCGGCAGCGGTGACGAAGTTGTGGTGCAGCCCTGGGAGCGGGAGGACTCGCACCTGCGGCCCCGCGACGGCAGTGTCTTCTGCCAGGAGACCGGAACCTGTGCGTACAACAGGGTGCTTGGGAACCTGGTCATAAATCAGGAAAACGATCGATGAATATTTCTTCTGGCTTCTCAATATTGCTCGGCAGCCTCTGCGCCGCCGATAAGAACACCTAATTATGGATCAACGAGCATGTGCCTAAACCCCTGCGCTTAACCATGTTGAATTAACCGGAGACTGGGGTAGGGAAGAAACGTCAAAACGTAGAAGAGACTAGAAATAGACAGGACGACGTCTCAAAGAGACAGAAAATGGACAGGACGACGTCTCTCTGTTCAGACGTCGTACTGTCTATTTTCAGCATCGTCTACGTTTTGACGCATCTTCTCTACCCCAGTCTCAAATTAATCCAACATTTAATAATATTCACTAGCTCCCTGTACCCATAGAATATTTACCCTGCGCTTCTTAAGCTAAATTCAAATTTGGGGGTCTTGCGTGCCAACCCAACCAATTTGGGACGCGTAGGATTAATTTCGATCACCTTGGAATCTTCTGACGTGCGTCTGAAGAAGCAACTCTCTAAAACTATATGCAGACGAAGCAAAACTGTAAAAATCAAACTAGCTGACGCTGCTGCTCACAAATGCCACAGTATTTATTAAAAAACGTGAAAGCTTCGAGATGACCACCCGAAAGCAATTCCAGAAATCGGAGCGCGTGCTGTACCACCTTCGAGCAGAATCTTCAGCCAGACTGTAGACATTTACCTCCGCGTCGGTAGGAAACCTCTCGATTTTTAGGCCGATTTTTTTTCTCCCGAAATCAATACTTACAATATCTCCGCATGGCAAATGTACTACCTAAAGACACCTTTGTGAAAAGTTTCAATTCCCTCCGCTCATGGTTTATGTACATGATTTTTTCCCCGCCCGAAGAGCGCTCAAAAGGAGCCACAGGCTTCTTTTGACCCATTGTTGCAATCTCAACGCATTTCCAAGAACGAGGCAGCAGCAACAGTGTAGCAACTTTCCTCTGAAATACCCTCCCCAGTGTATAACTATTCAAAAGTTGGAATTTTAAATGGAAAAAATACAACGCGCACGTATGACTAGTTAAAATTGTTTACGTGCAGATCGTGACCCTGCAAACAAAAATATACAAGCGCCGTTTTTTTCGTTTTGTTTTTTCTAAGAGTTCAAAAGCTTACACTAGAGCTGCTCGTCTGGTGCAACGGGCTCATTCGGGGCACAAACCTACGCTGTAGCATTTCGTGCAGGCCACCATACCCTTTCAAGATAAAATTTGAACAAGCTCATTTTTTGTTATCTTGCAAAGCGTGTTGCGCACTGTACGTGTAAACTATAAAGTATAAAAAAAAACTTTCCGATACAACGTTAGTCAGTACTTTCAATGGTGTGATAAATTTTGTCTCGTGAATTTTCTTAAAGCTACTTCTCCCTTCGATGCGCTACCACCGACTGGTACAACGGACTGTGGCACTCTGTGCGACATCTTTGAAATGACAAACAATTTTGTTTATCCAACCAGTGGCTAGTAAAATTAGCGTTTCTTTCATGGCCGAAAAGACCACGTAGACGTGCTACAGTCGAGACAACCCATTCGATTTTGGTAGAGAGCTAGAGCTAGAAAAAAAGAATAAAAAACTAAGCATGAATAATTTATAATCAAAGTGTTACATCTTCTAATGGCAAACATGCACAAGAGTGACAACGGTGAACAGATTTGAATATAACATTTACGTCTTAACTATCCACCGTGCAATAAACTTGTACACGTAATACGATACAGTATGGAGGTATCCCGGTAGCCTGGAAGCCCTTAAACTGAGGGAGAGGAGTAGACAAGAGAGCTCGGGGACGTCAGAACGCCGAGCTCTGATTGGAATGATTAATGTATAGAACTAAAGCTAGCCACCTATATCTCCACGGCACACATCGAACGAAATCGACTGCGAGAGCCAAACGCCTGACGCCGGCGTTCTATATTCTAACGTGTTCCACGAGTCCAGTGGAGACAAAGCATATTCAAAATCATGGTAGCGCTTGACACGAGGACGAAGTAGGAGACTGGTCAACACTAAGCGCTGACTTCAACTGTTCAATCATGAAAAATTGGGAAATATATACACGGCGATCATCGCACTCTCCGTCCTTATCTATCAGGTCAACGAAGGCAACTCTGACACAGCCTACACCAGGTCTTTTCGTCAAATTTTCCTCGATTATCTTCCTTACTGTCTTATCCTTATGCCTGGCGAGAACAAGGCACGTGCTGAACAGAGGCCTGCAGTCACAAGCTTGACAGTAAACTGAGAGATGGCCATCTCGATAGCTGTTAAGGTTGAGGTTGTGCTCGCGTAACCTGTCATTTACACATTTGCCCGTTTGCTCAACGTACTTCTTTCCGCATGACAACGAGATCTGATACACGTGCCCTCCGCACAGTTAACAAACGGGCTCCTGTATTTCTTCACGCAGCTCTGCGAGACTTTGTGGAAAGGGTTCGTCAGCTTACACAACTTTCTCGAGCTTTTCCGACGCAGAAAAAAAAAGACCTTTGTATTTATACGAATAGCTATGTTAAGGTTGTGCGCAGTCTTAAGGTTGTGCGCATTCTTGTGCATATATGGAACAACTAATATCTTTCGTTTTCTTTTGGTTTAATCTCAACTAGAGTTTAGTTTTGCTAGCAGGCTCTGTGCAAGCTCTTCCGCAACCGATACCAGCACAGCCTTCGGGAACCTGGCAGATGACAGGCGTTCAGACGGCTCCAACAGACTCGAATGCATCACATAGTGGCACGACCATCAAAGGGTGTTGTGAGGCACAAATTGGCATCAATCATTTGACAAGTTTAGAATGGGATGAATGATATGGTAACAGGGGCTTATTGGCTCTAGACTCGTAAATCCACCATACATGATGCTTAGAGGTGGTGAGCGTGATGTCGAGAAACTACATAACACGACCTACTTGTATCTCATGCTTAAGTTGGAGAGGAGGAAGGGCATCTCCGTAAACGGTCCAGAACCTGTTCACTGCAGCCAAGTGGAAGTGGGGCGTATCCTGGTCAAGAAAGAATAAAAAATCATCAACAAATCTAAATTTCTTACATTAAAAGGACTCAGGCGTCCCTAAAGGACTCTGTCATGATGGGCTTAAAAGCACTCAGGCGGTCCTTTCGGACCGCCTGACTGTTCTTATTGTAAGAAAGGTTTTTAAGTTTGTTCGTGATTTTTTAGTCCTTCTTTACCAGGATATATGCACCACTTCCTCTCGAACGCGGACAGTCTCTTGCGGTTTTTGTAGATAACCTTCCTCTCCAACTTACGTATCAGGTACCCGTAGATAGTGACATACAGTATCTCGACATCAAACTCACATTCTCTGAGCATCTTGCATATTGGACTTACCCGCCTGGAGCAAATAAGCCCCTTTTAACATATCACTCATCCCATTTTAAGTTTGTTTAAAGAGTTCCATGTAGCACAGAGCTTTGGCCCAATATTTGGCAATGGTCCGGTAGTTACGGGCCTTGAGAATCCCGAATAAGCCAACATAAAGCCAAATCGGACCTCCTTTGACAAGACTCTGGGTATTTTGGCCCTAATTCGCCAAAGAAGTGTCAGAGTTAGGCTTCACTTCATGATAATTTGGCTGTCATCTGTGATGTGTGATGCGATGGTATCGGTTGCGGAAGGGCTTCCACAGAAGCTGAGGGCAAAAGTAAATTCAACTCCAGGTGAAACCAAAAGAAAACAAAAGATAGTAGTTTTGCCATATATGCACAAAACTGCGCACAACCTTTAGAAAATAGCTAATAGTATAACCACACAGGTCGTTTTTTTCTGCGCCGGAAAAGCTCGCCAAGTTATGTCTATTGACAAATTCTTTCCACAAAGCCTCGCTGTGCTGCGTGAAGAAACACACAAGCCCGCTTGTTTTGTTGCCTGCGCAGAAGGTGTCGTTGCGAACCCTTTCCGCATTCCGTTGTAAGTCGGAGAGAAGTACCTTGGACAAACGGGAAGATGTCTAAATGTCAAGTTGCGCAAGCATAACCTACACGTTAACAGCTATGGCCATTTCTCAGTTCACTGCCACGACTGCAGCATCGGGCCTGTGTTCAACACGTGCACCATTCTTACCAGGCATAAGAATAAGACCGTAATGGAGATAATCGAGGCAGAAGTCGTCAAAATATCTGATACCCGCTGTGTCAGCGTTGCCTCAATTGACCTCATAGATGAGAAGGTAGCCTTCTGGCGGGCGGCGGCGAGGTCTGGGATTGGGTGAGAGTGCGATGTTCTTAGTGTATACGGCCAGCAGGTGTTCCACAATCCGTCATGGAAGCATCCAAACGCAAGGAAGGACACGTCAATCAAAGGACAACATGGATCACGCGTAGGGAAGGCACGATGACGAGGCAACCAAGCGCTCACCATCATTGGTTAAGGTCGGGGGGAAAGAAAGGCTAGTGGACGGATTTGGGGGGAAACAAACGCAGAGGTGCTTAAGGAACAGATGAACTTGCATGCCGTATATACTTCCCAATTTACGATGATTAAACAGTTGAAGCCAGCTCTCCATGTTGTCCAGTCTCCTACTTTCTCCTCCTCTCAAGCGCTACCATGTTTTTTATACCCCGGTCAGACGGCGTTCTAAAGATCCTTTTCACTAAGCTCCTTTATAAAATCGGCGAACCAGCGCACGCCGTAGGGCACGTGCGCACTCAACATCGCGAGCAGATTGGCCGATTTTTTAAAGGAGCTTAGTGAAAAGGATCTTTAGAACGCCGTCTGACACGCGTATAAAACCCAGTATCAACTCGCCCAACAACATGCACTAAGTCAAAGGATGCCTTTGTATCCACTTCACTCGTCGAACGTATTCGAATGTGAATGCCAAACGCCGGATGCCTGCGTGCCACGTTCTAACGGATTCGACGCGAGCGGTGGAGATGAAGACGAACGCAGCTAGCTTTAGGTTTACCCACTGCTCATTCTAAGCAGAGCTCGGCCTTCTGACTTCCCCTGGTGCCCTTGTCTCCTTCTTTCCCTCAGTGTCTCGACGCATTGAGTTCTCCCTGAACTTACTTCTTTTATCAACTAATTTCAATCTTTGTTGTTTCCAGACGTGCTTAAGTTTGACAACACATTCAGCGCCTGCCGCAGCAAGAAGCTCACCTACGCCTTCCAAGTGATACCACCCACGACGAATCAAGTCATCGCTGACGCGTGATATTCATCAGACATTGAGCCCCCTGGCCACTTTGACAGTAACCCCCTTTTTTTTATGAAAACACGACTGTCCGGGACAGTCTTGCTAGTACTTCGTCATATTCGATGCAAACACACCTTGTATATTTCAGACACAGCTTAAGATCTTCTGTCAACAATCTATTGCAAGGGATCCTGAAATTTTTACTTCTACCAAATGTCTTGTCAAAACGTATGGCTTCATCATGCTGACCAAAGGCAGTAGTTGAACTCACTTTGCATCTTATTGTGTCGACAGATAAATCTCATGACGGCGAATAAATGAGACTGTGAAGGCAGCCTTTTCGCCGCAAATGATACACTAGTAGCAGTAGTATTTTACCGATGCGTATATGTCTTCTTTTTTTGTTCTCAATTTTTCCCGTATTTTGTTCTTACCCTTCACTTACATGGCTTGCCCGTGACGTCATCGCAGTATGCTGGTGGTCATTTCCACTTATTTTGGCTGAGAAAAGCAAATTCATTGGTGTGAAATATGTGCTGCGGAAAGTGCTCAGCAGCAAAGCACCCCATAATGGTAGCTGATGGGACGTCAATGCAAGCCATGTATGGCTGGAAAACACAGAGGCCAAACCATAGGTTTTTTATGACTTCGGAAACACTTCCCAAACCTCTTGCACAAGTGTGACCACTTTCAAATAACTAACACAGCCGCTTGCGTTTGGCCTATCATATACTTTTAAGGTCCTCTACAAGTACCGGTGAGTCCGCGAGCAGGGACATGAGTTTTTAGCACATTGAATGCAGACATGGGATGCCTATTTCAGAAGAATCGTTGGATCGACAGATCCAGTAACTGATGTCGGTTTGAAAGAACTCGTATACACGCACTTTTCAGAGATCGAACCGCCACCTCGTGGGTTTCAGAGGAAGCCGGTGAAGGTGCGGCGTCGGTCATTCAAACTGACATGTCGTCTGCTCTTTCATAACGTGTGGTAGCTAACGGCGAAAATATAAACATTGTGCAAAACTATTTTGATAACGCCAACTCGACCGTCGCAGGTGCAGGTTGCTTGTCTTCGGTTCCTAATACAAATCCCTGCACAAGGCGTGGAGACGTTGCGAATGCGCAAGATGCGAGTGGCGCTCCAGTGATACCCAGCAAAATTATTAACTGCACCCTTTCAGCGAACAGTACATTTTAGCACCTGAGGACGTCATGATGATTCTCACGTCCGGAATCATGCTAGCATTGTCGGAAGGGCCACAACGGCTGGTCCCGATCAGCGACTTTTAATTACTGACAAAATTAGCTCTTTGGATGAGCCCCATTAAACCCCGCCTAGTGCCCCTGAAGCTTTTCAAGGATATGTTGAGTCTGGCCGACGCTAACGTATAATGGAGTTCCGGTAATATGTACTTGTGATTGTGATAACGGTTTGGTATTTGTCGTTTACTTCGTAGGATCATGATTTATCCTCCAGAGAGTAGCCATGTGGACGTATGTACTTTCTATTTTTGTACGATTTTACAAGTATTTACATGATAGCGTAAGGATCGAGAAATAATGTTGGCAAGTATGTTTTCTGCAATAAATATATACCTGACGTTTCCTTGTCTCGTTTTATTCACTTCGTGCTAAGACTTCCCAGGTTTTGGTGTGATAGCTTAGATGCCGGTAAAGGCAACATAATTCTTACGTGGCCCTTACGTGACAACGCATAACCATGCAAAGCGCGTAAATATATACTTAGCCATAATTAATAATCATGAGCGAGATTCACCAAGGGCTGGAATCGGGGGGTTTGGTGGCCGAGTGGGCTAGCGTACAACAGCTCGGAGCCCGTGGAGCGAAAGCTCGCGCTGCAGAACCTAGGGATCCTGGGCTCAATCCTAACCCCTGCCCGTTTCGATCTGGACGAGCATCGTACCGGCATGTGGTCGTGTTTCACTACTGTGTGGTGCACGTTAAAGACTCCAGGCTTGCGTTTGTACCCCACTGGCTAGATTGCTCATCTACAGCGAGTGACTCGTCGCAACTTTGAAATGGCTAACCAACTACACGCTGTATAAATATTCACACAGCCCAAATTATTAGGGCTGGAACCGAGCCCCGGCCCATGCGATCCTCAGCCTCTCGCCTTTGCCCGGGGCCACAAGGGGTAAGCAAAGAGGAGCGCGAGAGACTGGAATCTCTGACTAGGGGAGGCTGCAGCAGCAGAGGTCCATCGGAGCCCAGAAGAGGCCAATAAAGAACATTCTACCAACAAACCCACTGGCTCGCCTTTGACGGGGCGCAGCCCCCCACGTGATCTCGCGACGCCATTGGGCGGATCATAATTAACACTTCCGGGGAGAGCGCAGCGTGTGTATCCGAGTGCGCTAGGTGCACCTTTGATTGGAGCAGAACTCGTGGAAACTTCTTCCCATCGAAAGCATACTCCTCACACACACTCTGCTTCCCCCCCCCCCCCCCCCCCCAGTAAATTCATATTTTCCTTAACCACTCTGATAAACCAGGGGAGCTCATGTGTTGATCGTGCATGCAACGCATCCGAAACCACCCAATGCTCACTGTAACGAAGCATAAAAATTTAACGTACGCACATAATGCACGCACGATAGATTCTTTGCTCCAGGGTTTATTAAAATAATTAAGACTTTAAATATATCAAAGAGTCGAGCAAGTTTTTTTTTTTTCTTATATACGTCTAGAGGGAGTTGTCTCGTTTGTTATAAAGATTCCTAAAGCTCTAAATATAGTGCCGAGTCTTGCTTAAAAAATATATAAAACGTTTACCGCTTGCAGCTCTCCTTATACGCAGGTACTCTCAAGCAGTGCATTTACGTATTCTGATGAATACCAACAAAATAAACCTCTTCGACAGAAATCTGTCTCGTTCGGAGAAACAGTACAAAACAAAGAAATCTCAAACCAAAAGTTCAGAAACAATCAGTTTCCAACGTTTCGGGTTCGACTTGACTCCTTCAGGGTGTCACGAAATGGAATGGGACAGCGAGAGCTTCGACCTCTTCTTCCTCTTCTACACAGTTGATGATTTGTTAACATGACGCAGGCCCCGTGCGTAAATAGATGTTAAGGCACTGGGGGACTTGTTAATGTTTCCCGGTGTGTTCTGAATATGCCACGACTACAATAACAGACGTTTTCGGATCTGTGGCTCCGTGTCTATCACGTGCGCGTCCGCGAAGTCGATCCGAGGATTAAGTACCTCACATTGTTCGGCGACGGCGTTACGCTCGCAATCGAAATCATGCGCCAGCACCAGAACGATGTGCGCAATTTCGCTCGCGAGCATAGCGGCCGAACATTATGAGGTACTTGGTCATCGCATCAACTTAGCGAACGCGCACGTGATAAACACGGAGCCACATATCCGAAAACGTCTGTTCTTGGAGTCGTGGCATATTCAAAACCCACCGGGGAACATTATCAAGTCCCTCGGTGCCTTACCATCTACTTGCGTCCGGGGCCTGTGTCATGTTAACAAAACATCGACTCGGTAGAAGAGGATGGAGAGTTCAAAGCTCTCGCTGTCTCATTCCATTTAGTCACCCCCCTGAAAAAAAAAATGACCCCAAAACGTTGGGAACTGATTGTTTCCGAGCTTTGGGTTTGAGATTTTTTTGTTTTGTATTGAATACGAACAGTTTCAACAAAATATTTTAGTTAATGTCTTCCAAAAAAGTTACAGCGTAGCATTAAGCAGAGTGTTTTTTTTTAAGTTTAACAGATTTGTAATAAAAAAAAACCACGAAAACTTTACTAATGCGGTTTATGCAGGTGAGTTATACGGCCAGGAAGTCATAGTATCGGCGGCTGATCGTAGCGTTCAGTCCGCTAAGTAACTAAAATATGCAAATTAACGTTTTAATTATTGAAAATAAACATGTTTCTAGTTAGAAATTTGCTGAGCATCATCTACCATCACTAAATCACTCAATAGTACAATGAATCGGAGCACGTGGTAGGCACGTTGAAGCGCAAACGTTACCACTCGTCCAGCAGGATCAATGTTACCGGTGTGATAACGCGTCCGTGAGCTTTTTCCCCCTCTTAAGCTCCGAATTCGTTCACCCCAGCCTTATGCCTGTGGCACGAGAGGTAACTTTAGCGCACTTCCTTGCTTCCCACACAATCAAAGTCATTCTAAAAGTAGCTGTTCTAGAGATATAGACTTCGATAACCGTCAGCAAGCTTCTTACTAAAACTATGTGTCTATCTTCACTAATTGAAAAGTTCGAAACATTTAGTTCATTACGTGATGTATTGTGACAACAGCCACCAATATGAGTACCCCTGGCCGCATAATTCACCCTCCACTTTAGTGTATCTTTAACGACTTTTTTTTTTGCGCAAATATATTACGCTTAAAAAGGAACACCTTCTATCACAGACCGATCTCCCTCAAACGTTACACGCACGCGTTACGCCGCCACAACTCCAGTACAGATGAGGCTTAAAACAGTGCACGCGACAGTCCGTGCCATCTCGTGCTCTGCTCAGGCGCGTCTCGAAGCTAGGCTGTTGGACGTGCAGAAAAACCCAAGTTCCCTGGGTGCATTGTATCACGAGTGAGTAACAAAACTTGCTGGGGGGATCGGTCTCTTGATTTTGCTGGCACTTGTTTACGCGAGCTCTTAATGCGTATTGCGCTTTCATTCCTGCTCCCCTCCTACTAATAAATGCAGCTGTAATTCCGGCCGATATTGTTCTTTTTGTGTAATGTCTGCATTGGACACTCATAAAAACCTCATGATCATATTGGACATAAAAATCTCATGATCTCATTGCACATAAAACCACTCAGGGGGGAAGAACCGGTCATCTTGATTGGTTCGTTCTGTCCCTGCGTTCCCCATTATAGCAGAGCTGATATAACGTATACCAGGAAAAGATAACTGCGCTTAGAGGGCAAAAACGAAGGAGCGAGCTAGCCGAGGGGTGTTATCTTTTTCAATTATGATATAACACAAACTCCTACATATTGGTATAGAGGGGCTATGGCTATACCTGGTAATCCGCAGGTGGTACTATATAACATACGAAGAAGGCAAGGAACATTGCCACTACAGTGACATACAATCTAAAACTGCCTCAGAAGCCTCTCCCACACGATCATTACCACCAGTCATTTTAACGTGATAGCTTTAAAGGGATGCTACAACGAAATTTCGGCCCTCATTTTTTGGTCTATATGTGTTCAAAGGAGCAGCATCACATCGAACATACCAATATCTTGTTAAAAAAGTCTCGAAAAGGAATTTTAAAACGAATTAAACGATTAGCAAAGAGCACCTGGTGGATGTCGCTAACGCTTCGCTTGTAATGCCCGTCTAGGAACCTTGACAGCCAGTAACGGTGGGTGTCTCGCCTCCGGCCACAACGAGAGATGAGAGGAAGGAGGAACTCCCCTCTTCCCGAGAATGCCTTTTGTGTGTCGCAGAAGTCGCTATTGTCCCCCTACAAGATTATAGAAGATTGACCCGTCACTCAAAATTCGTACAAAAGCAGCCGCTTCGGTGGCAGGAACGACTGGGCCATCATCTCGACGTCAGCCTCGCCGTAGCTTTGCTCATCCCGAGACGACCTACGTCACGATTGCGTTGGATGTCACGTGGTCTCCGCTGGGCCTTCTCCGAGCGCTTGCCAGAGTGGGCCGTTTATAACGAAAAATACAGCCACCAGGCTCAAAATACAAACGTGCGAATGTCATTTACGGATATTGTGGATCATATTGAACCTATTTTTGAACACGACGGGAATATTTCAAATTTCGTTGAAGTATCCCTTTAAAAAGCTCGTGACGCAGAAAAGACGGCCCCGGTGGCGTGGCAGACATGCCGGCGTCGGTGGCGTGACGCGAAAATTCCGATTGATTGACAGGGTCATGCAGCCACATGACCTCGCGCGGGAATTTCAGACAATCCTCAACGCTCACGGGGAAGTGATTAACAAACATGACATGCAATGCCAATTAAAGATCGCAGGATGTCTCAGATGATTTCACTGTATAAAGTAATTCATTTGTCTTAAAGAAATATTTGAAACATTTTAGGTGGGATTCGAACCCGCTACACTTTGGTGGCGAGCCAGAAGGCTGCTGACTTGTCTCAGGAGTTCTGTGCAGCAAAGGCAAAGGCATAGGCGCGGGCACATGGCTTTTAGATTTGCTTTCCTTCCGCGAGTGCTCGTGAAAGCAAGGGAAATCTGAAAGGCAGGCGCTCGGGCTTGTGCTTTTTCCTTTGCAGCACGCAACTCATGAGATGGAGTATAGGCCATGACCGCCGCGCTTCCTGCTCACTGGCCGGAAGAGCATGAAGAGCATGAGAAGCGAATGAGAAGGCTTTTCGAACGGGGCCCGATAACACTACTGTGTTCCACCCTTAAAGGCGAAGCTTAAGCGTCCACCAAGTTGTTCTTTCGCGATGCGCAAATAGCCCGTAACCCAGGCGCACGTCTGCGCTGACGTCATGCGGCCCGTCATGGATACTGCATTTCCTGACTGGTCCGTAGGGAGATTTAATGCCGTGGTTTATAGATTCGTGATGGTGGTTATTGGCACATTTTAGCTTGTACCCGACTGTATTCTACCTGTATGCTCTTCTAATGTCGAGGCTTTCCAGTAGGTAAACACCACCTTGACCCTATCTGTCCAACCCATCGAAGACAGTCCCTCACCTGCAGAGACTATGGTCCATAGCGCCGGTGCAAAAAAAAGAGATGTGGTGGGGACTGCTAAGAAGACGCCGATGATGTAGCCTCGTCCGAAGACACCAGATTCTTGAGACTTCGCACGAGGTCCTTGCATTTGAGTAGCACTTCCTCCTGAACCAGGTTGAAGGACATGGCGATGATGGCCAGTCCCAGGACCAGGTAAAAGCAGCAGATGATCAACTTGGCCTGTCCCGTGGTCGATGTGGCGCCCTGTTCGAAGAGTGCAGACCCCGGGACGAAATCGCCGAAGCCGATGGTACTCAGCGTGATGAAGCTGAAGTAAGCGCCGTCCAGGAAGCTCCATTTTTCCCAAAACGAGAACAAGGTGGCTCCGAAGCAGATGTAACCGGTCACCAGCAAAAGGACCTGTCAATGACACAATGAGCAAGTGTGATGTTTTAAAAAGGCACCGAAAAAGGACTGAGACATACAAGCCAGACGATGCAAGGATCCAGAGTGGTTGGCTTGACTAGGATGCCTCATCTGACCATTTTTTCCCTACGCTTTTGTTCCCTATTTTTCCCTGAGCGCGAGCAAGCGCTTCTCCCGGCACGAGCTCTTGGCATTGACAGTGCGACCGCGGCATTTTGTTACGTGATGTTTATTTGCATTACTTCTCGAGAGCGCGTGCTGTCGGCCAAGGGCACTAGAAAGACATTACTCTAAGCAAAGCGCACATCAAGGCACCGTAGGCTTGACATAACTAAACCCGAAACTGGTAAGGGAAGGAAAAAAAACAAAACGCGTGAAAAGATTAGCAAGGCGCACAACACGGTATCTAGTCCCTCTTCTGAATTGTCGTTTCCTTTCCTGTCGAATGGAAATTTTCAATCGTTGTTGGTTTCGAGTTTGGTTCTGTTCTGCTTGTAATAGTTACAGCACTCCCCTTGGAAGAGAGAGGGAGGTGAGACTATAAATCGTCATTCAACTTGCACTATTCCTTATAAAAGTAATGTATTGTTTTTTTCTAGAATGGTTAACACGAATCAATAATTCCTCAACCATGATGTTATCTTACTCAAAGGTATGCACTTGCCGGTGGAGTAGTGGATGCTTGATTATGTGTTATGGAATAAATGTTTTTGTTGACTAATATTGTGTTCTGCTGTTGACAGAGCAGTTGGAGCCGGATTGTTTAAAAAATAAGTCGTACATGATGTAAAATATTCGCATTTTAGCTGCATGCACAGATTACAGCAACAAACCTCAAACAGCACCATAAGTTATAGCTCCTCTATTTTCAAGGCACCTATTTGCTATGCTGCCATGAAAGCCAAGCCGGACAGAAAAAAATTGGTTCATAATTTTTAGTGCACTAGAAGCAACACCACTACGAAACGAAGAACACACTACCACAAGCGCTTCGGCTTTTTACCTTATATCACTGTCGTACTGTTTCTCTTTCTTATCGACTGAGCAAACTAATATACCGGCTTTGTTGGAGAAAATAAACCCAATTTATTGATTGGTATAAATAACGCATAGAATGCTCGAACTCCGCGAGAATGTAGCGCTAGAGGTTGTAATAGAATAGGAGACTTTGAGAACAGGACGTTACCTGGATTAAAATATAAAAGCGCGAAACAGCTTTTCTCTGTGAGCCTACGTCTACCTAACTTAAATAATCACCAAACCGAAAAATGGGTTTTTGGGTGCCTTCAGCATTTATGTCAATGCAAAAACCTACCAACAAGCAAGAAAGCAATACAGCCTTTCTTGCTGACCAGTGCTTAAAAAATTCAGTAGGCTCTCACTCATAGTGTCATTTTCTTTTTGACGATTACTTGCGTAGGTTGATGTAGGCTTGGGAAATCTTCGCGCCTCTCCTTTATCTTCCGATACAATTAACAATCTTATCTGCGGTCTGCTAAGTGTCTATGAAGTTGTTGGAATGTACGTACGTACAGACGCCGATGAAGCCAAGATATCACCTGAATCGGATTTGAAGGACTCGTGCTCATATATTTCCATCAGAAATACCTGCGGAATGTCTAAATATAATTAAAAGGTGAAAAATAAATTGTGTTATGGCCCGCGATAGCAACTTGGCTAGTAGTAATAATAATAATAATAAATTCCACCATAAGATGGTGGCGATCAGGGAAAAAAGCTGTCAGGTACAGCTTGACGGGTCCCTGACCGCCTACAGATGCTTTTGCACTAAGATAATTACAGAAATTGTGTGCGTAAAATTGCTGCAAACACGTGGTGAATATCACTACTCAATAAGAGAATAGCGCTCTGCCCTCGACCTCCGTGCATTTCGTTCTTTCAAATTATGTCATTTTTTGGATGTTCAAGCTCGAAATATGACGTAATTCCTTAGAAATTAAAGATTGGTTGTGTTAATAGCACATAAAAAGGTCATTAGTTATGTTAGTTAAAGGTTAGTAAGACGCCTTCAACTGTATCATTTTGCCTCACCAACAAGGTAATTTTGAATTGACAACCATTTCAAATAAAGTGTATTTTCTCTTACCAAGAATTCTAAAACCTCTAGAAAAACAAGAACGAGAATTCTCTTATTTTGCGGTTTGTAAACACTGGCTTCTTTTGAAATGGGATAATTTATTTGGTTCATGCCTTACCTGCAGTTGTGTTTGTTTTTAGATTTAGTTTTGCTGTGTGTCATCACACCTTTTCTTCACAATTTGTGGCAGATATTCTGCATAACATATCCATTACACCAAACAATACTTATACAACGTATTTTCTTTTTTTTTTTAAATCGTCTTTGTTTCGATGTGAACATATTTCTTATTGAATTCCACATTAACAATCAAAGGCCCTAGGATACCTCTATAGTGAAATTTATATTTCGGCGAGCTTATATTCATAGCTTTCATTTTCAGTAATAAAACACTCACCTGTATGATGATGATTGCAGTTTTAACAGCACAAGGGCCACAAAAAACAACCTTATTTAAGAGTATAAACTTACGAAATCATTAAACATAGAATTACAGAACATGGAGAGCACACAAGGTGTGCTCTCTGTGTTCTGTCGTGCTGCGTTTAATTATTTCATAACTTATTACACTTTACCAAACCGTGCAGCTCAAAAGGGTACCTACAGAAGAGAACTCAAGATAATTGAGAAGTAGCTGAAAGTTATCGGTGAATTATTTTCCAGGTCGCATTGAATGCTACTAAAAGTTGATCACTATGTAAAGAAATAGAAACAACCGAGCGTAAAACATCCCTGCATTACGACGGTAAATCTACACGCGACGCCTTTTCTTGACCGCTATACCTCGACGCCCGATCATCTGCGCAATAAATGACGTTTTCTATAGTAACGGGGGACGTGGCGACTGCCGGTCATGTTAAAAATCAATCACATATCAGTATAGACCACGCGCTACGTTTCTTGAACAGTCAATGATGTAGCCAAATTGTCGTTTCGTGTAGGACTAGAAAACTTTCATTCGAAACCCGTTGCTACGACACTAAAACCACGAGTGATTCTGTCACTTCCAGCACCATGCTACCCATTTCCAACTTCCGTGGCATCTCAGGAGAATTCTCTGTCGCCTACAGCGGAAGTAACGCACGCCGGGGTCAGGCCATAGTGGTCTCGCTCCAATCAAATCCCGGTCGATAAGAACTGCCCAGCAAAAAGCACATTAGGCTTCGCCCTGCCTTCGTTTAAGCTCTCAACGACTATGGCTGCTACTGATTCCTGACCGGCCATTGGGATCCCTTCACGATCGCTGGTCATGGAGAAAAACAAAAGGAGCGAGGGAGCTAGAAAAAAACTCTTTGGAGCAAAAGACCTTAACGGACAACGCCAACGAATTCTGACCCTGCCTCACAATGACTGCTTGGAAAACTAAATATTTGTTTTTATAATTGTAATCTCGACTCATCTTGTACATTTGTTTTTGTTGCAATATTTCTTACGTCTCTGCGTGCGTGGTATAGGTATGCGTTCTTTGTAAGCATTGCGCCACTGTCATCAATTTTGAAGACTTCAATAAGCTTACTTCAATTAGCTTCATATTGTGTGTCATTGAATCGCCCCCCGGTTGGATATACTCTCTGTTATGCTACGAACCATTTGTGCTAATATCAATAACTTTAACGATGGCTTATGGGCCCATGCTCCTGAAGTTAAGGCCGCTATCAATGGATGGCACTTACTTTTTAAATGGTGTAGGAAACTAAGAGCGTACCTCCGATCTATAGATCAAGGTTGGAGCGTCGAACAAAGGGAGCTCTGTTAAAATTAATTAACTTTTTAGAACCACAGTAAAAACATCCAAACCCACGTATTGCGAGCATTTGGATGCCAAACTAAATATTAACATTTAGGAATCTTGAAAATTCGTAAGATCAAACATGAAGTATAGTACATTTGTTACAAAGCTTGAAAGTATAAAACAGAAAGGACGAGGACGGGAACAGGACATGTGAAAGATATCCTGTTCCCGTCTTCGTCCTCTCTGTTTTATACTTCCAAGTTTTGTATCTATTAACCAACATGCTCGTTTTGAATTGTTACATTTGTTTTTCCTCTCTCAATAAATGATCAAAATTTCCCGAGTGAAAAGATGAAAGCTACGTATCTCTCTTTTTCCCAATTTATATTTTGAATGCGTATTATCGCAGCCCGTTATTCAAACACGCAACCGGTAATGAAACAATACTATGTCGCCCATAGAAATAACGTATAAAGGAATAGCGTTCTTATCACAAGAACTCGATGTGCACAAATCAACTGGACCTGATAACACTTCACCGAATGTATTAAAGAACTGTGTGGACGATATGGCGAATAATTTTTGCGCGCTTTTTAACAAACCATTAAGATATCAAAAGCTTCCTACGAAATGGGAAATGGCAAATGTGGTACCAATACACAAATTATTAGCCCAAAATGTGTGCAAAAATTATAGGCCCGTATGTCTAACGTGCATAACTTGAAAACCCATGGAACATGTGATTTATAGTAACTTAACTGAATGTAGAAAGCTTTCTAATCCGAGATCAGTATGGAATTTGTTCTTGAGCATCTTCTACGATGTTCTTATTGATGTTTTTCACTTTCTTGTTGGCGGCAGTGATACAGGCAAAATATAGACTCTGTAGATTTCAGGAAAGCTTTCGACTTTGTAAACCATGAATTGTTATTTTACAAAACTTAGCTCACATACCCTTGATAGGAACGTATATGCTTGGTTGAGGGAGTATTTAAGCGGACAAATGCATGGCGTGTTATTAATGCTGAATAATCAAATTATGTAAATTTCACCTGTGATGTTCCGCTGTGTTCTGTTCTGGGTTTCTAGCTCTTCCTTGTATAATTGGGCATAAAATAAAACATTAGACCTATCGCAGACATTAGACCTATATATATATATATACATATATGATTACAACGATAGAAATATCTGAGTTAAAATTACATTATCATAGATTGTATAAAAATACAAAACTAAACGTGTGGTATGAAAAATAGAGCATATGTCGTAAACTAACAAAAAAACTCCTCGCTAATGACCAGTATCTGTACCGTAGGCAAGTGGAGCTTACCTTAAACAAGCGACCCGAAGAATTCTGGCGCTTTGTGAAGAAGCATACCAGGAAGGAGTCAAACTGTATAACGCTACATAATGAGTCTGGTATTCATACGTCACCTAAGTCTGTCTGTGAGCTGTTTGCAGAGCACTTTAAGTCATGTTTTTCTAACCTCAACACTACTTCTTCTGTGACATGGGATTCTGATGACTATTTACCTTTAACGAGTATTACGGTTGATGAGGTGGTTTCGGCTATCGGTAAACTAAATTCTAAGCTATCGACAGGTTCCGATGGTATTCCAAATTTTATTGTGAAGGGTTGTTGTGAAGTGTTTGCTCCTCTTCTCGAAAAGGTTTTTAACATGTCGCTCCAGAAGGGTGTCTTTCCAAACACCTGGAAATACTCAATTATTGGGCCAATTTTCAAATCTGGCAATTGTGGCGACGTCACTAATTATCGTCCTGTATCCCTTTTAAATGCATTCTCAAAAGTGTTCGAGAAGGTGATATACAGCCGTTTGTATAACTATTTTAAAAGAAAGATTGTTCCCGTTCAGCATGGTTTTTTAGCAGGAAGATCCGTGGAAACAAACTTATGCACATTTCTTGATTATTCTATGCCAATTGTCCAGAGTCGAGGACAGGTAGATGCAGTATATCTGGATATGTCGAAAGACTTTGACAGGGTTAATCATGAATTGTTATTGCTGAAACTCAAGAACTACGGGCTTGGCCCTGAGTACATTACCTGGTTCAGGAGTTATTTACATGAAAGACAAAACTGTGTTAGAGTTTCTGGCTACCTGTCGCGTCCTTTCATATCTATTTCGGGTGTGCCTCAGTGCTCCAATCTTGGTCCTTTGTTGTTTAACATTTTTGTAAATGATCTCATATCCTCCGTGAAGCACTCGCAGGTGTTAAATTTTGCCGACGATGTTAAACTGTTTCGGCAGGTGGACTGTTTCGTCGACTGTACTTTGCTGCAAGAGGATGTCTCGTCAGTACAGAAATGGTGCATTTCAAACAATTTACTTTTGAACCCCCGTAAAACCCAAGTGATGTCTTTGTCAAAATGGCGTAACACGTTATCATATGACTATACTATGGAAATTGAGCCTATAAGTAGGACCAAACTAGTAAGAGATCTAGGGGTTTTTGTGGATGACCACCTTTCTTTCAACTCACATATTAATTCCATCGTCGGTCAGCCCATGCGGGCGTTGGGAATAATGGCTCGTTTAACTAAACCATTCAGCAGTCACCACTGTCTGTTGCGACTCTACAGCACCCATGTACGCTCTAAACTTGAATTTGCATCTGTCGTTTGGAATAATATATCTAGCTCAGCAAGCGAAAGTATTGAACATGTACAAAGGCGGTTTGTACGTATAATCTACGATAGATATTTTGGTCGCAAATTTTATTTTGAATACAATCTGATTTTAACTAGACTAGGATTGAGTACTTTATGTAACAGAAGGTCCATCCGGGATGCTAAGTTTTTGCATAAGTTGGTTCATGGATCGATAGACAGTTCTGCTTTGCTTGCTTCTTCACATTTTCGCATTCCTGTTTACACAAGTTCTAGAAATCGTAGAGTGTTTTATCCAGATCACCTTAACTTGTCACCTGTATCACGAATTCAACATGTCCTTAACACGAAGTATAGCCGCACTGATATTTTTTGTACAACTTTGCCCTATATGCTTTACACATGTGCATGATTTTAAAATCGGTTTGATTGGGGATATATTTTCTGTAACGGAAATGTAAGTCTTGCATTGTGCTTTACCGCAAAGGCCAACCGGCTGTTGGTAAGCACGCAAAATAAATATTGTATTGTATTGTATTGTATTGAGTATATTGACAAAAATTCATTTATGTGTGACAAATGGAGGACGGTTTTAAGCGTTAAAAAGGGAATTCACACGAAATGTATTAAAAAAGGAGTTCTATTAGCTCGGCGCATCTACTTAATAATGAAATAATTAAAGTTTGCTGAAACGTGAAGTACATAAGTGTTTTGCTATCTAGTCACGGAACGTGGAAGAGTCATGTTGAAATGATAGCTTTAAAGACAATACGGATGCTGCATTTTATTCGACGAAACATTCGACAAGCTCTTATTCAAATTTACGAAACTGGGTTTATTATATTTATTCCTTCATGCATTGAGTGTGCTTCAGTGGTCTGGGACCCTCATCAAAAATATTTAATAGACAAACTTTAAAAATATTCAAAATAAATGTGCTACATTTGTTTTAGATTACTTTGAAATCGGAGCAAACTTTATAATCATGAAGGAGGAGTTGCATTGGGAATCGCTTAGCGAACAAAGAAGATAATTTATATTAAAATTTCTAGATGACATTTACGGCAATATACTTGAATACGTAGAGATATGTTTTACATGAACCGTTTTGTATATCAGGAAGAGCGGACCACCCGAACAAAATCCGACAGTACTCCTGTCACGTTGATGTGTTTCCTTCTTCCTTTTTCCAAGAATTATCGAAGAGTACAATAGGATGCCTAAATATGAACTTTTGACAAATTAAGAAGTATTTTTAAGTAGTTTTCTAGCTTGTGCTTGATGCTTGTTGTGTTTTTTTTTTGTTTTTTTTTTTTTGTTTCCCGGTTGTATTGAAGAGTTTCTTTTACAGCCCAATTGAGTTGCTAGATAGACACTTATACATCTGTTTACTCCGTTGATGTTTTATTAAGACATTTTCTACATTAGTTTTATGAATCTTAATATATTGTAAGAAGGAAGTAGCACTGCCAATGGGCGCGGGCTCATCGCGCTCGGACTCGGCACAGACTCTTCTTGAAGCTATATCGCCATCTAGGTTCATCGTATAATCCCCTCAGCCTCCATTAAATACACTTATAGCAACGTCATTAAAATATATATAAGTGAACTTTCTTTTTACGTTTGTAAACACATTTTTTGCTAAAATGCGTCACGACGATTGGGCTTCTGCGAAAATAAAAGAAAATAATTCACGTAGAAACGAGGCTTCTCAAATTAAAATTCAGACGCAGGTATAAATCCTTCAACTTATAAGTACCTACTAAACATTGCTTAATCACAAGTCAGAGCGCAGTCGAAGGCTCGAATACATGCAGATACAGGCAGACATACTAAAAGCATAGTTCAGACAGTCACTGCGCTCGATTAATTCAGCCGCTAACAGAGCGCCTAGAGCAAGATGACGTTGGGCCTACGGTTCGATGGCACCATGGTGGTACCATCGGACCGTAGGGTCTCACTTCTGACTTAAGGGTAAACAAAGTAAAGGGCGAGTCTATTAGCGCCCTCCTTGGGGTTCCAGTCACGCGCTTGGGAGAAGCAAAGGCCCACTTACCAGGTACACGGGAATGCGATCCTGCGGGACAGACGACGTGGTCACATGCTTGGTAGCGGTCCCGTTGTTCGCCTTGCTCGCGGCCGACAGGGCCGCAGGGGCGGCGGGAGCCGTCTTCTCGGGGCTCCCCGGCGGGGACAGGGGGTCCTTGCGGAGCTCCTTGGTCGGCGTGCCGTCGTCGACGCTGTGGCCCTTGTGGACCGAGTTGGCCACGCTGACCACGGCGTCCAGCACTTCGGACGGGATCTGGGTCGTCGCGGCGTTCTGCGTGTTGATCTGTTCGAACAGAGCGGATCGCAACCCAAGAAGATCAAATATCGGGTACGGTATATTGCTGTCTACACTCAGTCATACTTGAAGTCCGACCGTAGCCGTTGCTAAAATTCGATTGCCCCAAAGTGTACCGTCACAGCACTCTTTGTACGCTAGCCATCACCGACTAGGGCAATGGCGCACAGTGAAGGAGGCGCGATCCTTTCTTGCGCCTTACCCGCTCATGGGAAATCACGTAAACAAGGAATTGAGTGACGATGCACTTTGTCGCTGCTTGAGTACCTCTGTCTGATTGTAGCATCGGCTGCGGCCAGGCTTAAAGTGAAACAAAGTATAGAAGGCCTTGGCACAAATCGCAGCACTAACGAAACACGTGGAACTGCGTGTTCCATGCTTGCTACTTGCTGTACTGGCAAATACTTGGAGAAATGAAAAAAAAATCAGAATATCAGAGAGCTGAAGGTAATTGCTTGCCGAAAAGATCGAAACAGTGGGACACACAAAAAAATGGAAGAACTCAGGCAACAAGTAAACAAGCTACAGCAGTACAGTCGGAGGCAAAACCTCGAGGTGTATGGTATCCCATGCCTATCAAATGAAACCCTGTTGGACAGACTAAAAGAGGTAGCGAACCTTCTAGACGTTGCTGAGCTCACAGAGGGATATATTGAGGTCATGCATAGACTCACCGGGGAGCCAGATAATAAGGTTCCCCCAGTATTCATCCGTTTCGCAACCAGAATGACTCGAGACCGTTGGTTTGAAAATAGAAAGTTGCTCAAGCAGAACAAATCTGATGTTTGGTGGATGAAAAACCTAACGAGCCAAACCAAAAGACTGCTCTGGTTTGCAAAAACCAAGGCCACCAAACTGCATTTTCGGTTTGCATGGCGAAAGGGTAGTAAGATGTTTGTAAGGAAGTCACTCACCAAATGTCTACTTTACCATTGGCCATTGACGACTGGAACTCACTGCCTGACGTAATTGTTTCCTTATCTGATACTAAGAAATGTTCTGCAGTCATTACCTTATTTTTTCTAGCCCATAACTAGATTACAGCGTGTTTTTGTAGATAAATGGTTTTGTTACTTGTTTTTTTTTAAGTGTTCACTCCCTTGTATAATGCCCCCTGGGCCTTCAAGGAATAATAAATGATGATGATGATGAGTAGTCAGGTGACCGACCTTTCAGCATCAAAAATAAAAGCGATCTTGCCAAAATCCATTAAGGGCGTTATTCTCGTCTAAAGTGTTTTGAATATAAAATTAGCAATGTCCCTTCGGAGAATAAAGGATGCTTACTATGACGTGACCTCATTCTGAAGCTTTATAAATAAAAACTTCACGAATCGTAACATGTTTAAACTGATTCACGTAGTCTCCGCAATAAATTCGATGATGTCTGTCTATATCTACAATCGCTTTGGTGTACTTTTAATAAAATAGCTTTCACTGAGACATGGCATTCTGGTGAAGAAGATACTCAATTTGATAGTTACAATTGTGAAGCGATTTGCCGCGATTCTCCTTGCGGGGGCGGTGTTTCCTTGTATTTTCAGAGTAAAATGACGTATTGCGCACTCTCTGGATTTACTCGTGTAAACGTTGATTTTGAATCTTTGGTTAAGAGGTGTCGAAATGTCATAATTGCTGTGATTTATCGACCGCCATCTGGTGTGTTAAGGTTTTTTTTAAACTCTTGGAAAAGTTAATAGAATACGTTACCTTAAAAAATATACAAAGAGCATTAATAGGTGACCTAAGTATTGATCTGCTAGGAAATGAATCTATTAATATGAATTTGTTAAAAAACGTTCAATTAAATAAAAGCGAAAATATTATCAATGTCCTTAATTGCATAACCGAATGTATGGAAACATTGATCGATATCTGCATCACAAACTACCTCAGCTCCGATGTTTTTGCTGTAGTACGAACTGCATGTCTGAGTGACAATGTGCCCTTTTGTTTGTTTGTTTTTCTGAAAAAGTCTGATCACAAATCGTCCATCAACAATAATAGAATATTTTGTAGAAATATAAATCAAAATACATTAGAATGCTCTTACAACCATGTCTGCTTAGAAACATGGAATGACATATTAAATTAACCAAATTTAGGGAAAGCCTACGATTCTTTCATAACAAAATTACAAGAGTGTTACAACAAAGCTTTCCATTACTTGAAGCGAGAAAATAAAAAAAGTCAAGGAAACCTTGCGTTACACGTGAGCTCTAGAAACGAATAGTACCGCGCGATAAAATATCTTCCAAGTTTATTAAAACTGAGGATAAGAATTTACTAAGTGACGACAAAAATAGACGAACAAAAGACGATATTAAAAAAGCAAAATTAACATTTTATCAAAATTAATTTTTAGAAATATATAAGGACCATACTAAAATTTGGAACACTATGAAAAAAATTAATGTCATTAAATCATGTTGACATGATTTAATGCATTAAATCATGTTGTATTAAATCACGTTTAATACATGATAGTTATTAAATAATTAAATCATATCTAAATCAGACGGGTTAGAAATTGAGGGTTACACATACGCCGGGAGTTCGTTGGGGAAAACGTTTATCAAATAGTTGTTGTTGTCTGGTGCCTGTGGATTGCCAGAAGAATATTTAATTACAACTCTACAAACCAGCCACATATCACAAACTCAATAGTTCTTCATCCCACTGATGTATTAGAAACACGCATCATGTCTGTGTGCCTGAGCGATGATGACGATATCAAGGTTATTCCAATCAAGGCGACAATAGACTTAGTGTTACCCCCTTTATATGCGTAATCAAATCATTGTTTCGGGTATTTTTCCAGTTAAAATAGAACTTGCAAAAGTCTGCATTATTTGAAAATCTTATTAACTATAGACCCTTATCTGTTTTGCCTCTTTTCTTGAAAGTTGCGGAGAACGTAGTTAACTCAAGATTGAGCAATAAATTAAGCAATAAATTGATAACTGATCACCATTTTGCTTTTCACAAGGAACAATCAACAGAATCAGCCCTGATGCAGAATAAAGACAAAATAAATTCATATATAAAAAAGCTATGATTATTGGAATGGAATATTCGTGTACTTAAAAAAGAGCGTTTGAAACAATTAAGTACCAAAATCTGCTACAAAAATTAGTCATTTGGAATCAGAGGGAACGCGCTGAAAATAATTCGTAGTTATTTATAATGAAAAAATTGTAAGGGTGCAGGCGAGCTGGTGGAAGTTAACAATAATTTTGTTTAACCCGAGACTGGGGTATTTCGGAAAAGGGACGAGAAGAAAAGAGGCCACAATATACAACACTACATGATTGTAAGTCAAAGTTGGCACCCATTTGACACGGTGTTCCGCAAGACTTTATCCTTGGGCCTTTATTATTTCTTTTATATAGAAATGACATTGTGACTATACCCATATCACGCAATATTATTTTTAATGCTGATGATACGAACGACTTTTTTCAAGTAGAGACCTGCTTCATCTTAAAAAGTTTCCAATAACTGGCTGGAAAATTAATCTGCTTGGTTAAAATATAATCAGTTGCTTTTATAACGCTAGTAAAACAAGATATATAATTTTTAAATCTAAAATTAAACCAGTTTCCTATTACTTAAATATTTGTTTAGAAGGAGTAAGAATTAAGTGCGTAAGAACACTTAAATTTATAGGTGTGTTGTTTCAAGAGTCCCTCAATCAGATTCAACATATTGAGAAGAATTTGAGATGCTGTTTATCAAGAGCAGTAGGGTCATTGAATGAGCTCCGTAAATTCTTACCAAAGTGCTTAAAGTCACAACTGTACTACACTCTTATTTATTCACAGATGATATATATTATAATAGAATCAGGTACAACTACAACAAAAAACAACTATAAGCAAGGTATTTGTACTGCAAAAAAGGCCGTTCGTTTTATTCGAAACCTCCAAAAATATGATCGCCCAATGCCACCTTTTCGCGAGTATAAGGTATTGACTGTAGAGCAAATAACCTAGAGCACAGAAAATAAATCACTATTTCTAAAACGTATTAAAAAACAGAAAACTACAGTCTGCGATGTAGCCATTACATAAAAAGCAAGGTTCGTACAAAGTATGGCTTCCAGCAACTTTCGTATCTTATTCCAGACACACTCAATACACACCCTACCATAGTTTAAATGGTGCAAAACAACGATTATTTTCGGACATTCAAAGATAACATTGGAACATATATTTTGAAGTCTCACATGATCTACAGTTCGTATCCCGACTTTTGAGTTGCATTCAATTATATTTTGTGCAAATGCCCGTCGGTAAAAATAATTCATTTAAGTGTTTGTTTTGTTTTCTGCTGAGTGCAGTAAAAACTAGGGGCTGGGGTCCCGTCAGCCCAGCCCCCAACACTTCTTTTTGTCTGAATAAAAGACTACATATATACATACATATATCGGCGTAAATCCCCGCAACTGCTTTTGGAGTCAGTAAAACCAGCGCCTCCACAAACGGTAACGTTTGTAAATTTATGAAAATGTGCAAGCGTCCCCTACTCGCAATAATGTCATTTAGCCACTGCGAGGTAACATGAATATATCAACAAATAAATGAAGTGCGCCACAAAGTCGGATTCGGAGTCGTCATGCGAATGCATGCAGATGAATGGTTTTGGCTACATAAAAACGGACCCCATTTTCTCTTTGTAAATTTATGAAAATCACCTAAACCCTTCACACTAGATAATGACAAACTCTGAAACTTTGGCATTTGGTTCAAACCGCTAGCGCTACATTTTGGTGGAGACAAAGCGTTTGACCATGCAGAGTTTGTTTTTTGCGGTAACGAAAAAGCCTAATTTTTCTCAGAGACGCACGGTACATATTAGTTTGGAGCTTATTTGTGCCAAGGATATAGTTCTAAATAGTGCTACACACGTAAAAAAACTAGGTCGCCCACAAAAAGGAACGAAACTTTTTTTTTATTGTATTTGAAAACAGGCAAGTTGTCCAGAGTTGGACAATTTCTCGCAGTTAGAATTCTAAACCATTCCTGCATTTTGAAATGAAATCTATTGAAGCATTAGACTATGAATCATGCTTCATTACTAATTTTCTTAATGCAATATACTGAGAAAGTTACTCAAATGTTAAAACTGCGTTGCATTTCTGACGTTCCAGTGCCTGCTCTTGTTATTTATGAGACTGCTTCCTGCTCGGACTACAGAGTGAAGACGCACTTTATGCGGCATGTCTTGTGTTGTGTTCCGTGGAGACGACCTAGAAAGTTCTGCACACCTGTTTTTCCATGCCAAAGTAAATGAAGCTCTTTAGAGCGATAAAGAGCACCGAATGCTCCGCAGCTCTGAGGGCAGCGTTCTGAACGTTCAATATAAAGTATGCTAAAGGGTACCTCAATACAGCATTTGCCACTGAAAGGTTGTTTTTCCCAATAAATATAACAAAGCTGGAACTGAAATGTAGGCTCTCTAGCGTTGTCTCGTCGCAAGGAAGCAGAAGGCTGCACAAGACTTCGTAACGCGCTTGACTGCAACCAAAGACAAGCGTGTGATGGGAGGAAAGTCGGCGCACACACCTTGGCGTTGGCGGCGTCGGCCTTGTGGCAGATGAGACAGCAGACGTGGCTGTAGAAGAACTTGAAGCTGTGCGCCAGGATGTTACCGATGTTGGACAGGCAGAGCAGCATGAGCGGGATACCCACGATGGCGTACAGAATGGTGACCACCTTGCCCTCGGGCGTCTTGGGCGCGATATTGCCGTACCCTGCGCACAGGAGAATCGCCTCCCCTGTAAAGGGCAGCTGAGAGCCACCTAAGCTGTGCCAGAGTATCGACATTCGCCGATTGTATTGTGGACACTGACATCTTTGTGTCCAAGTGCAGATCAAATAACCCATTTCTAAAGAAGCGTTACTTTGATCAATCCTCTTTCTATAACCCCTTCATTCGTTTGTTGTTGTTGTTGTTGTACTATTGAGAATGAGAAAAAGGGAATGCCGGTCCGGGGAAAACACTCGTGTAGGCTAAGAGAAGTGAGGGAAAAAGAAGAGGTGGGTTACGATGTGACTCCAAGTTTCAGTCGTACTAGGTATATACTATTGTTTATGGGGTCGGAAACGTACGATATCTGAGCATATTGTTTGCTTAGTCAATAAATTAATGTAGGGATTAGTTGAAGACGTGTCGTTAGGCCCGTAATCGCAAAATTTCTACAGTATCATAGCCTCCCTTATATCGACAAAGCCTGGCAGGTCGTTACGAGAAGCGGCCGCCGAAATAGAAAAGGTGGAGCGGCAGACAACGGATGAGAGGAGGGCCACGTGACTGGCGCCTAGCTGCGGCGAGCCGCCGAAACACACTTCTCCTGAGCGAACAAGTGTGTTTCGGGTCCTCGCCGCTGCAAAAGCTGTGCTGACGTCCAGGTTTCCGAGAAACGGCTCTTTGATGTCCTGTGCTAAAAAGATCCTCGCGCTCCAAATATGGCTCCGTCGTCGAACTGCCAGGCTTTTAAGTATGGAGGTGGCTATGACAGTATATACGGCCCCATCTTATACATCCAGCCACCCAACTCGCATGTGATAGGAACAGGTGCACCCCACGTGTGTGCATAAATCATTTAAACTTCATAGATGGACCTAAAAAGGTCACGTGATGCACGAGAGGGAAATACACGACCATTCGACAGGCCTCGTTACGAGGGCGACATTGTTATTTTTTCAACTTTCCGTATGTGGAAGTAACGTTATCTGCGCTTGTTTCGCAAAGAGTAAAAAACGGTGGTCACATTTGTAACTGCATCTAGTTTTTATTGACTATAAAGAAGAAAGACAAAGACCGAGTCAGCGAACTAGTCAAGCATGGAATCGAAAATCTATCATGAACGTCGCTGCGTCAAGAGTCACACCACACAGGCAGGCTGCCGTCGTTTAAAGGCTCGCAATCAACGACATTTTCTATACCACGAATCAGGACGTTTTCTCCACCCAAAAGAGGGACAAGCCCCAACAAAAAGCAAACGTTTGCACTCAACTCCACACAACTCAAATAGGCTCCCGGCTGTCAGAAGCGAAGAGGAAGAGTACGCCCAAGATTTTCGGAATAAAAAAATAAAAAAAACGAAAGAAGAAAAAGCAGATATCGCGAACATGCTGAATGACTCAACGGCGTCTGAAGCATATACCGAATAGGCCGTTAAAACCATATGTGACTTCGAAAACTCTTTGGAGGTTGTCGATGGATCAGCCTTCCCTAATCCGGAGCTTTAAACGCTAAACTCGTTTTTTTTTTCTAATTTTTTTATTTTTTTTTTATTTTATTGTGTTGAGATTTTGAAAGTTCACTGTGTTTCTCCTATTTCCGTTTTTGCTTGTCTCGTTTTTGTTATTTCCCTTGTGTGTGTGACTGCATCAGCTCGCCAGCGCAATAACTCTCATCCTATACGTTTTTACATGCTTTTTCGATAATTCAACCGCAATTGCTTTTTTTCTTTTTTCCTGTTTTTTTTTTTTTTTTTTTCAAACAGGATCCCCTTACGGTACAATTTGCAACCGCATTTTCCGCGCAACAGCCAATGCACTTACACGTGTGCGGCTGCCGAGCAGTTCGCAACCCAAGTTTGTGCATCTGTGCCCTGAGTTAAGAGGTTTATCCACTTCATACTCAGCTTCCTTCCCGTCTCCGAGCAAAGTGTGTCGCGCGGGCAATCCGCAATGACTGCTTCAAGCGTTATTGGGGCTGGCCCTAGATGTGCGCAAATAAAACTCGTCCGCTAACCTTGAGCTCTGCGTACTTCTCTCTGACCTTCTCGAATGATTCGGCCTGCTCTGGCTACCGTATGTCTTTTTTGTTTTTTTTTTCCTCCTCCGCCCATACATGACTTGCATTGTTGTCACGTCACGATGATGCACTCAGCGGTTTGGGATGACCATGACGCTGAGTGCGTATCGGTTGCGTGTGACGTGCAGGCCATGTATTGATTCGAACGTTCAGCGCGGTGCACAAATGCTTTCATAGGGAAGTTATTCGCCCGGCCACGTTGCAGCAAGGCCACCTCAATGGCCTCTGATGCGACGTCAATGCAAGCTAAGTGACCGGCCTCGTCGCAGCGCAACTTTTTCGACTGGCGAAGAGATCAACAAATGCGAGACGTTTCTGGAAATTAATTTGATATCATATATTTAATTACCTGTCTGATTCAGGCAGCTTTATGTTGGGTTTTCTTGTGATTGTTTCTAATCTCCACATGAATACAAAGTAACAGAACACAAGCTTCAACTTGTCTTCTGTTGCTTGAAGTCGCCGCTAAATTGGCACCCGTGGCGCCGTTTCCCCCGGGAATGTGTTCAATTTTGTTGTTCGAATGATGCAGGACAAAAGGGTTTCGTCGCACTTGTCTGGTACTTTAAACTTGCCAGGCCCGAATTTCGAACACGCTTTAGGACAGACTATAATATCTGTGTTAGGTAAAGCTTAAGTGTATGTTGTGAAATCAGTCGTTATACTAACCTGCACGATGTATACACGATTGCAAATTAACGTTTTTCCCGCCTTTCCAATTAAATTGACGTATTCCATACCTTGGAAGTGGCCCCTGCACTAGGCCAAATTTTCTAATAACAAAACCCAACGTGGTGTGGTGATTTATATACTTACTGCCTTTTAGATTCCTATCATTCCTTGATTGCTTCAGTTCAAACTAATAATAAAGCATCAATAATAACAGTCGTTATTCAAATGCAGCATTAGCAAATAAAGACATTTTAGCGAAGTACATTAATGTCCAGTTGTTTTCTATTACGACTTTCTCTAGCGCAAGGGGGCTTATATAAACGAACACGCTGTATTCCCAGAAATGTGTGCCATCGTATGCTTGCGTCATCTCTTAGAGGGTTACGGCAGCGCTCCCGTAGAAGCCTATGCATTCACTATACAAATGTCTCCACAACATCTAACCGGTAAGCTTTGAACAATTTGACATGTTACTACTCCATTCTATTATATACCGCTATTTTTGTGCCAAATTGTCGTGACGATTACATGTAAAATGCAAGTTCGTCACTCGAATAAACGTGTTTATTGATTGCCAGATAGCGCTCAAGCTAATCGAAGTGTACAGTTTATTCTTGGGTATAAATAAATCATTATGATTGTATAAATTAAAAAGGATTCCTCCCCAATATCATGGCAAATTCTGTAGTGTTTGAGATCTTTAATACATCTGTAAAAGTAGATAAATCGGAGGCACCTCACGCACATTCTTGAGAATCAGCGAAGTTTAAACGAACACAATTTAAAAATAAACGGAAATGCAAGATTTGTCATTAGACTGAAGTAAACACGAAGAATTAATATTGATCTTGGTGCATTTCATTTTTTCTCAAACTTATTATCTTTTGCTCCTGACACCAACTAGCATAATAAGTATGCACTCGTTCTCGTGTAAAGGCCTATGATCATTTGCAGTATTCTGCTACTGGCATCTTTACACTAGCAAACAAAAACTGCTGCTTTATATTAACATTACAATTATATTAACACAATTTCTTTTAAGTAATCTTCCTCATTATTAATCATAACAAAGGTACTTTTATTGTAAGAAATGGGAGCACTGCCATGAATAAACGATTTATCAGGTTATTATTACGGCGATGAAGGAAGGCAAAATGAACGGCAAAAAGGACGAGCACAGTGAATGTTAAGTTCTTGTGAACTTAACATTTACATGTAAAAAGTAACATTTAGGCATCTACTAGATGTCTACATTACCTTAATTGTCCCAATCGCCCTTAACACGAACAGCAAAAAGAAATCGTGAGAAGGACACATTGAAATGTCCTAATGATATCACATTGCTCGAAGAGGGCCAAACCCCATGATTTTTCAATAGCACCGCCTTCTATTCATTTCGTCGCCAATTGAGGACTCGGCCGATCTCAAAACATCCCCGGACAAAGCGTGGGTGGCCAAATTTGAAATGATTAACGAAGGCCTGGAAACAGTCGAACCATGACCACTTCGAGGCAACTTTTCTCCAAGATGGCTCACTTGAGAACATTTTCTATAGCAGCGCCTCGCAGTCAAAAGCTATACATTTTTTATTTAGTGACCAGTTGAGAACTCAGTCGATTTCAAAAAGTTCCTGAATGAGACGCGCGTGTCCGAATTCGGAATGATTAACGAATGTCTGAGAATAATCAAACCATGTCTACTTCGGGACAAGTTTACTCAAAGAGAGCGCATTTTAAAAAAAAATTGTCCGTAGAAGCAACTTATAGTCGAGGGCCACGTTTTATTTCGTCACCAGCTAAGTTTTCAGCCGACATTAATGAGATTCAGGATGAGGCGCGGGTTTCAGAATTTCAAAGGATGGACGAGTGCGTCAATACGACCGAAACATTCCCACTGTGAAACCGGTTTTCTCAAAAAGAACTCGATTTGAATTTTTTTTCTATAATATTAGTATCTGCTAGAGGAATCTAAATTTTATATTCCGACTTTATTTGCTAAGTAGATTATCATAAAAATAGTTCTCTGGGCAGGCCTGTGTGTCCAAATATAAAAAAATGAACGAATGCGTAAAAATTGTCGAACCGTCCCCACTTTAGGACCGTTTTTTTTTTTTAAGAATTCATTTTGAAGTGTTTGCCATAGTACCTGGATATGCTAGAAAGGTTCACAATTTATATTCAGCATATGTTTAGAGATCCAGTTGTCCTGAAAAGAAGAGTTCGCTCGCGAGACGCGTGTATCTAAGTTTCAAAGGAA